GGGGGGGGACGCGGAGCCTGCCGCTAGAGTCCTGGGCTGAGCCGGTGGCGGGAGGCCGGGGGACCTGCCGGGAGCCCTGACCCAGCCCACTCTGGTTGCCCGCAGGGCTGCAGCGGGGACGAGCGGGAGATGGCCAAGAGCGTGGCCGACCTCATCTCCAAAACGGAAAAGCTGGTGATCGCCGAGGGCCAGGAGCCGGCCCAGTTCTGGCTGGCACTGGGTGGGAAATCCCAGTACGCCAGCAGCAAGCGGTAAGCCCCGGTCGGGCAGGGCACATGGCGCATGGAGCCACGCCCCAGGCAGGCCTAGCGGCAGGGGGCCCACCAGCATGATGCTCCGGGGCTCAGGGGGGAGGGCGCTCTCGGGGGGGGCAGCACCCTTCAGGCTGCTTGGAGAACAGAGAGGAGCTCTGAGGTTGGATCTAGCCCTTCCCATCAGCAGATCCCGGCCTGCTTCCCTAAGGAGGGCAGCGCTGCCACCCCATGCCACAGGCAGGGGAAACTGAGGCACAGGCCCGTGACACAGCTCGCCCAAAGGCTACCCCCCGACCGAGCCCCTGCGTGGCGCAGTGCAGGCAGCCTGGGTGACTGGAGCAGCCGTGGCCAGGCCCGGGGGTGGCCGTGCCTGCCCCAGAGCGGTGAGCGTGTTTCCAGGCTGGCCGGCACGCTGCCCACCCACTGAGGGTAGTATCCTGTCTGCGGGTCCCAGGGGGTGGCCCTGACGTGTGCTGGGCGTGGGTGGGACGGGGCATGGGCAGGTCATCACTGGGGGCAGCGCGCGGCTGTCGCCCCTCCGAAACCCCTGGGGGGCAGACCGTGAGCCAGAGGAAATGGGATCATGGCCGGAGCCGAATATCCCTCCATCTGAGCAAACCCCTGGGCCACCCTTGGGTGCTGGCCCCTGGCGGTTCCCCGCATCCCGTGGGCCGGCTCTGTTTTCCAGGGCAGACGCAGCTGAATCCAGCTGGTGCCGCACGGGCCCCCACGGCCGGGCCGGGTTCCCTGGGACCTGACTCCCCCACCCCCTTTGTCCACAGGCTGCAGGAGGAGACCTTGTCAATTACGCCCCGCCTCTTCGAATGCTCCAATCAGACGGGCACCTTTGTTGCCACGGAGATCACCAATTTTAACCAGGACGATCTGGAGGACGACGATGTCTTCCTGCTGGACACCTGGGACCAGGTGTGTGTGGGGGGGAGGGAGGGATGGAAGGGGGTGGCGGGGCACCTGTTGTTCCTGAGGTGGGCAGCGGTCTTCCAGGCTGTATGCTCCCGGGGAGCCTTCACCACCACTGCCCCCCCCGGGGGAGGGAGTGTGACACATCCCCCCCGCACAGACGAGAGAGCCAAGGGGCCACTCCCCCACAATGGCTCAGGCAGGGTTAGAACCGGGGATCTCCCTACCCCTCGCGTGCTCCACCAGGCCTCATTGGCCGCCCACAGCCCCAGGGGAGCCCGCAGCCGAGAATTCCTGACCCCCGGCTCCCTGCTTTCAGCCCCAGCTCCCTCTGTGCATCCTCCCCTGGGAGAGACCAGGTACGGGGAAGCAGGATCCCAGCAGGCCCAGCCCGGGGCGAGCTGGGGGTTCCCCCGGTAGCGGACGAGGAGGGGACGCTGGCTGGCCCCGGCCCGGAACAGGCTGTTTCTCGCCCAGGTGTTCTTCTGGATCATGGAGCAGGCCAACGCGACGGAGAAGAAGGAGGCGGCGGAGATGGCGCAGGAGTACCTGAGAACTCACCCCAGCGGGCGCGACCCCGACACCCCCATCATCGTGGTGAAACAAGGCTACGAGGCCCCCACGGTGACCGGCCTGGGACCCCCTGAAGTGGAGCGTGAGTGGGAGGGGGCCCTGGAGCCAAGGGGGCAGGCGGGGCCCAAACGCTACGTCCCCCTTCAGAGCGAACTTGCTGCACGCTGACAAGCGGGAGAGACGCAGCCCTCAGGCTGGCCAGCTGGGGAGGCGGCTCCGGGGAGGGCTGGGGCTTGGAGACCAGGCTGGGACTGTGCAGTTCTTGGCTCCACTGAGGTGCCAGCGAGGGCAGGGACGTAGCAGACGCCCAGTCCCCAGGAACCAGCGAGCCGGCCCCGTCTTCCTTTGCCAACTGCCCGAGAGTTACACCCGGTGGCTGTCGCTTAACGCACCCGGCAGCCCCGTCCCCGCCCTGCCTGGGTGCTGCTCACGGAGACACTCACGTCCCCGGCCGCGGCGAACGTTGCTCCCCAGCAGGTCCCTGGGGTGGGCTTGCGCCATGCGGCCGCATCGCTCCCTGATCCCTGGCCACCCCCTCGGCGAGCTACATGCAGAAGTGCTGGGAACGGGAAGGCCCAGGGGGAGCACGGCGCAGCCAGGGGCATTACAGACCCGGTGAGGGAGCGGTTCTGGCCCAGTGTCCCCCTCCAAACCCAGCCAGCTCTGCCCTCCCCGCCCGCCTGCCCCTGAGCCCTCGCGTCTCTCCCCAGGACAGGAAATCCTACGAGGAGCTGAAAGCCGAGCTGGGAGACGACAGCAAGTTCAACCAGCTAGCGACTGTGAGTGTTTGGGGGAAGACAGCCCAGGCGCGAGCGAGAGGGCAGCGGGGGGAGACAGGCCCGTCGCCGCTGGGCTGCCAGGATGCTCTACGTGCCTGCTGCTCCTGGCTATTGCAGGAGACAAACACTCCCAGGCTTCCCCCTCCTATGCTACCTGGGACCCAGCTCGGTCAGGAATCGCAACCTGGTTTATGGTTTGATCCCAGCTGGGGCACACCCCGCCCCACGGGGCTTGCAGTCCAACTGAGGCATGGCCCCCCACAGAAGCCTTCCCCCGTCCTCCGGGGGCCGTGCCAGGCCCTGGGGGTGCAGCCCGATAGCAGGTCCAAGCAGCCGCAGGGAGGGCAGAGGGCAACGGGATGCACGTTGGCCAAGGCCCAGGGTGAATGCAAGAGGCTGGGGGCTTTGCCGAGCTCCCAGCCATGGCGCTGAGCGACTCTCCCCCGCCCAGGAATTCACAAGCCAGGAAGTGTTCACTGCCAAGACCAGCCTGAGCCAGGTGAGCTTCCAGACCTACCCCCCGGAGGCGCTGCTGAACAAGACCCTGGAGGAGCTGCCTGCGGGAGTGGACCCCAGCAGGAAGGAGGTGAGCAGCAGGGCCTGGGGTGGTGAGCGACTCTCCCCCGCCCAGGAATTCACAAGCCAGGAAGTGTTCACTGCCAAGACCAGCCTGAGCCAGGTGAGCTTCCAGACCTACCCCCCGGAGGCGCTGCTGAACAAGACCCTGGAGGAGCTGCCTGCGGGAGTGGACCCCAGCAGGAAGGAGGTGAGCAGCAGGGCCTGGGGTGGTGAGCGACTCTCCCCCGCCCAGGAATTCACAAGCCAGGAAGTGTTCACTGCCAAGACCAGCCTGAGCCAGGTGAGCTTCCAGACCTACCCCCCGGAGGCGCTGCTGAACAAGACCCTGGAGGAGCTGCCTGCGGGAGTGGACCCCAGCAGGAAGGAGGTGAGCAGCAGGGCCTGGGGTGGTCAGGGTTGGCATTCACAGCAGGAGCTAGGCCCGGCCTGCAGGGCCAGGGGGCTTGTGGGGGCTGACCCGGCCCCAGTGAGATTAGCAGCATTTCCCGTGGCCCCATGGGAGGCAAGCGCAGCTCCTCAGCGCCCTGCTAAGCACAGGTCTCCGCTGGGTGGCACCCCCAGCTCGTGGGCCAGGGGCCGTACGTACGCAGGCGTCGGTTTAGGGGTGAGGGTTATTCTAGGAGCTCGGGGGCGGGGCTGGCACCTCCCTGCCCCTAAAGGGGTATGGAGGAGAGAGGCGGCTTAGCCAAGGGCCAGGATTACTCATTTGGGGCCAGTCGCAGTCCAGCGTGGGTTGAATGCTGGGTGCACTAAATGCTACCCAGGCCCCCAGAGCCAAGGCCGAGCCAGGGCAGCCAGCCCTGCATGGAGAGCAGGCTCAAGGAGGAAGGGGGGAGCCCACCCCCCACCCAGGACGGCTCCTTTGCCGTTTTGCCCCCTGCTGGGCCCAGCAGCGTTAGCTGGGCCAGAGAATTACACCAGCATGAAGCACCCACCACCGCAGTCTGAGCAGGAGGAAAGACCCCCTGGAACCTCCAGCCCCCACCTCCAGGCCTGCCTCTTGCAGGCCTCCCCTGGGCCCAGCTCTGTGCCAACCGCTGCTGAAATGAACCCGGGGAAGGCGGGAGGGGAGCAGGGGTGGATGCTCCAGCTGCTGCAGGCAGGGAGGCAGCTTGGGGGGCGGGGGGGCAGGAGCAGTGTGCCAGCAGCACGGAGCTGTGCTCAGTTTTACGACAGCAACATGGAGGCCGGGGCGAGGGGCGTCCCTAGAAATGGAAGGGGAGGAACGCCAGCCCCTACCCGGCTCCCGGAGATCTGCCACCGGCTAGCAGAACCCACTGCTCCCTCGGCCCCAGTGCTCTTCCCAGCATGGCAGTGCGGCCCAACAGCTCGGCGAGCCCCCTGCCCGGTAACGGCCCAGGGCCGGGGGCTGTGACTCAGCAGGATGGCGCGTTGCAGGGCCACCGGCTCAGCCTCGCCCCTTGCCTCCCGCAGGAGTACCTGTCCAGTCAGGATTTCAGCGGCGTCTTTGGCATGACCCAGACCGCCTTTGCGGCACTGCCCCCGTGGAAGCAGCAGGCGCTCAAGAAGGAAAAGGGGCTCTTCTGAGGGGGAGCCGCAGCGACCCGGGATGTAGGCGGTGGAGTATTTTTATTGAAGTAAAATTAAAGCTAATTCTGAGACCAGGGCTGCGTACCTGCCCCTGCACCCCTGCAACGAGGCAGCCAAAACCGTTGCTCCCACTGGAGCCTTTCTGAGCAGGGAGGTACCTATTTTGGCCAAGCTCCCAGCTGTGTCCGGTTGGTTTGACAGCTGCAATTTGCGCGTGGGATTTTGCCTTAAGCCAAGTAGCCTGGCAGCACAAAGGCCTGGAGACTGTTCACCAGGCTCCAAGGAGCTCAGCTTCTTCAACCTCGGGCTTCTTTTGACTATTCTCCAACCTCCGGCCGGGACAGCAAATCAAGGCAAGCACAGGAGCAGAGCTAGGAGTCAGAATCCCAGTAACCCAGACCTGCTGCACAGCACTGGTGGGGGTAAGGGGGGGTCATGGCATGTCACGGTCTTAGTTTTCCCCGCTGTAAAGTAGGGCTGCTGGATTGGAGGTGGCTAAGTGGCATTGGCGCGATCTTCCATCTGCGGAGAGGTCAGATCTTCGCAAAGCTGTTTACGTTTTCACTTGTATTCAACCGCCTGCTGCAGCCTCCGTTCAGGTTTCGTGAAAAGACTTATGCAAATATTTGTGGTGCTGGAAGTAAAGGTTTCAGCCACAGCAGGGACTGACATTTAAAAACCCACACGCCAACAGTACTGAAGCACAGCGTGCCCTTCAGTGACCATGGCCCTGTTTGTCCTATCTGTATTCGTCACACCTCCAGGGCCCGACTGGGATCGGGGCCCCTTTGGGCTAGGTGGGAGCAAGGGGTCAGTCCACACATTCGCTCTAACTGAGGTAGGTAATATCTTCTAGGGCAGTGGCTCTCAACCAGGGGTGCGGGTGCATGGGGTGGGGGGTGGGCAGAGGGGGGAGCAACTCAACAAGCTGTTGATATAAAAAGCACAGGACAAGTCAGTGCAAACTAACATGTCAGACAAAATGAGCAAGTCAGCAAATATTCAGTAATAATCTGCATCGGGCGGGGGGAGCCGGAGCCAATACACATGGGGAGCTGGTGTTTAAACCAGCTCCCCCACACACACCCTACCTACCACAGAGGCACCAGTGCAGGGGGGCAGGCAGGCTTTTAAGACAGCCCTCTGTGTATGCTGGCTTCCTTGGAGCCGCCTCCCTCCAGCCTGCTTCCCCCAGATGAAGCAGGAGGCAGGCAGGAGCCAATGTTCAGGCACCGGCTTCGGTGGAGCTGCCCCTCCACGCCGTGCTGCCGCCTCTGATCAGAGGCAGCATGGGGGAGGGGGAGGGTTGCAGCAGGAGCCAGTGCTTCTCCCCCCCCCCCATGTAAATGTGTAACCTTTACAATTTCAAGAGGTTACAGGTTGACACAAATCCTCGCTAGTTAACATCCTATGTGAGACGACGGTATTTTAGGTCTGATTGTGCAAGCAAGTCATTTTTAAGTGAGGTAAAATTTGGGAGAACACAAGACAAATCAGATTCCTGAAAGGGATACAGTGGTCTGGAAAGGCTGAGAGCACTAGGGACGCAGGGCCTGTCTGCTACAGCAGGCATTGCTAGTTGGATCAGACAAATATTTGTGTGTGTGTTCTCAGTACGATTCCCACTCACTCCGCATTGAGATGTGAAAACAAAATTTCCCCTGGGACTTCAATTTGGGTTTTCACTTTGGGCTCCAAGGGAAAATGCAAACAACTTCACTAGAAAGCCCCACTTTTTGGTAAACATCTGGGTGCAGGGGCAGAGCTGTGGCTCTACAAAAGAACCATGGGAGAAGGGCCAGTAAAGGGGGTAAAGTACTGGAGTAACAGGGATCCTTGCTAACCACTGAAGGCAGGTCTACACAGTCGTGCATAGCTCGAAATGAGCTACGAATTTGAGCGATGCAATTTGCGGAGCTTATTTCAACAGAGCCTATTTTGAAATCTGGCGCTGTCTACACAGTGCCAAATTGTGACAGAGTGCTGTTCTGACGTCTTCCTTTTACAGGAAGCCGGCTAAGACATCCAATATTTAAATGTATTTCAAAATAAGGGGTGTGCTGTTAAGACACACCCGATGCTATTTCGGGATAATGGATGTTACTCCGAAATGGCGCCGCTGTGTGGACATACCCTGAAAGAGCTTGGAGCTGCACAGTCCAGATGCTCTTATTCAAAGCAGCTTACAACTGAAATAAAGGTCCATCTCACCTGGGGGCATTAGAAAAGCCTACACGCGCTAGTCTCTGTGCAGCAGCCAGCACCAGCAGTGGCTTGTCACTAGCACTTACGGTCACTACAAAAAGCACACAACCCAGTGACTGAGCAATGGATCAGAACTGTGCTCTTCTACAGTCCCAATGCTTTTTTTCTTCACTAATGGTACAGTACAGGCCCCGATGTATGCAGAGCAGGGTCAAATGCTCCAGTAAACACATCTCCTGAAGTCTACGGAAAACGCCATCTTGGTGGAAAGAGGAGTCGCACCCATCAGAGGGTTAATAAAGAATTTTTAATTTCACAAAATTCTATCTACACATTTTAAAAAGGAAAAAAACAAGAGCAACCCTGTAAAGAACACAGAGGAACAGATCTGCTAAAACACAGAAAGTGCTGCTCCACGTCAGCTGTGTGCAGAATCAAGTCACTCACTGCAGAAACTAACCCAGTCATATGGCACCCACCCTGACTGCTCTCAAACACACACACTTGGGAATCCCCCTTCCCCTCACACACACACACCCTTAGGTTTTAAAGAATAATTACACACACACACTTGGGAATCCCCCCACCCCCCTCACACACTCACACCCTTAGGTTTTAAAGAATAATTATGTAGTCAGGAGGCACACAAGATCTCTGGGGGGACGGGGAATACTGAAAGCAGAGTGCAAGGGGTACATACTCCCCTTTTTAGTCTCTTTCTTTGGCAGTCAATTACAATCTAGATTAGATCAGTTAAAAAGTGACCCAGTTATAGTTCTTCCCAGCCACACACAGCTTCCCCCTCAAGCTCCTCAAGAAAAGAATTCCTCACGAGCATCTAAAAGCTTTTGTGAGTTTCAATAAAAATGTTAACACTGGATAATCAACTGCTTCTCCCTTCAGCTGCAGTGCAGACAGCATCTGTTAACCCTTCCAAGACATGAGAGACAGCACACACAGAAAAGGAAGTAGAGTTCACATCAATCATGCCATCTACACCATGATGGACACATGTCTGGGAAGGCAATCAGCCACGCTGGAGAAATCAATGATCAAGTCCTCACATCAGACTGCAGCTTTAATTAGGAAGCTAGTACCTGTTGGAGGTTTTTTTGTAAGTTCTTTTGCACATCCCAGCACAACAGTCCTCTCTATGGACTTGGACACACACACAGTGCAGTATCTTGGACAAAAATTCCAGTTCATTTACATAAACATACATTTACCATAAAAAGTAGTCAAATACAGTGAAGGACTAAACCAAGAACAAGTTAGAACAGACATTTGATGAGGAGTGGGAGACAAAGGAAGAATGGCATTGGTGTTTTCTTTCTTATACTCTGAGGCACGCTCAGACCGAACTAAACTGGCTCTCGGGTTCTTTTGAAACGGATGACTCTGTATATTTCAGGAAATGCTGAAGTTTTATCATATGCACTCCATGTAACCCTCTTTAATTAGTAAGAAACATAATCCATACCAACCCCCTTCCACCCTCTCCCAGAAAGCCCCATTCTCTTTAACAGGCTCCAATATTATGAACACTGCCACTCTAATAAAAGCTTCAAGGGTTTGTAGGCTACTTAAATTATTTCCTCTCCAAACTATCTGATGCTAAACTCTCTTGTATGTGCTGGGTTTTATTTGGTTTTTGTCTGTCCTACATTTAATCCCAGATGGTTATAAAGGTCCCTCAGGGCTAAGCTCTACTGAATTTCAGAGTTATTGCAACAATGCAAGTAGTATGAAATGTAAAAGTTCATTAGGTATGAAACGGAATGCTGGGAACCCATATTTCCCCCTCCCCCCTGCCAGATTCTGAATGAAGTAGCCATGTTGTGCAACCCCCTAACGTATATATTCATACATACAACCCTTGACAAGTTGCATACTTCCTTCCCAATTGCCACCCTGGAGTGGAGAAAGAATCCATTGTAGATGGGGGTGCAGAGTGTTGAGCTGACAACCTGCTCTGTGTGGGAAAAGGCTCCTAGGGCCACTCAAGCAGTCATATGCCAAAAAATGGAAGCCACATGTTCACAAGTTGCTAGTAGCTATGCTAAGAACCTGGTTTTCACAAGAGGGACCATGAAATCTGGTCTCAAGCATCAGCTCTCAACTCTGGGTCTATGCCAAAACAGGGTTTAAACAGAAATTAGGATACTCAAGTAAAACTAGGCAACCTTAGATTTTATTACAAACAAACCGATCTGGAGTGCTGTGCCTCCAAATGATAATTAGCTCCCAACCAAGCAATCAGCAGTGCTAACTTGCTTGTAAGTAAAGCGTCACGTGTGCTGCTCTCAGCATGCAGGGAAAATGGAGATGCTGGTTAAAATGAGGAAGGAAGCTTTGTTTTAGTGATGGAAGAGATCTTGGCCACATTTTCACAGGTATGTGCCTTACTCTGTAAAAGAAAACTCCTACATTAAATTCCCCCCCACACATTCCATTAACATATTCACTGTTAACAATACAAAATCATACTGATTTATAATAAATTAACATGTCATGTACTACTGGTGCTGTACCTTATGAGGTAAAAACTTTATCCTGTTTGTGACAGAAGTTTAATGCTTAGGTTATTTACGATGAGACCAACACAACCAATACAATATTTTCCAAGTTGTAACAAAACTCATTTAGACTCGCTAGTACACAGACCAGAAGATCGGCCGCGGAGGAATTATTTTGCCTACAGCAATGGTTTGTAAAAGCTCTGGATGGTTTATTCCTGAGGAACTCCTAATGGTAGTTTAAAAACAAATATATTTGCACTATCTGTAACCAATTATTCAAATCGCAAAATCCAAAGAAGGACAAAAGAAGAGTAACTGGTCCAATGATTAGCAACAATTTTTTTGCAATAAAAGTAAATACCAATTAAGGAAATATTTGCCCATATTAAATAAAAGATTGTTTGAAGGTTCTAATAAAAATTAAATCACTGGATATTTTTGCCAGAGTCAGCTATAAAATGAGCATCATGTTACCAAGTACAATTAGGACAATAAAATGTAACAGTTCTGCCCTGTAATATCTTATTTTAACACTCTATATGGGTTTTCAAAAGCTTCTCAACTGATTCAGTTTATTCCGTCTGAGCAGCCAACATGCCTAAAAACCCACAGATCATATAAAAACATCTGTCTGTGTGAGTTCTGGGATGTGCAGGAAAAACGTGACATTATGGAATGACATAATAGCAATCTAAGTGCTAAATGCATTTTTCAGACTTTCCACTTGAGGAGGACAGAGACAAACACCGATGCCTGCGAACCCTGAAGGGTTAAGGCCAGAATGCTCTTTTACCAAGGTGTGATGCGAAAAGAGTTGTAGTTCATTTCCTTTTACTGCTCAGTGCTGGCTCCGCTTCCCTTGAAGAGAATCTGCCAGTAGGCCAAAGCCTACCTTCCACCCCACTAGCTGCTTCGGTCAGAGTCAAAACAGGGCAGCTGGAAGCGATGTGAAGTCAGTGAGAAGACGATAAACTGACAGAAAGATGTCAACTGCAGTATGCAAGGACACTATGAGGAAAATGCAGCCAGAAAGAATAAATTTTAAATGAAAAAATATAATCTCATTACTAACCAAAGACAACGAACCGTGTAGGATGACAGAGAAGATATGAAATACATTCCCCAGCACCAATCGCTTGTTTCCTGGAAATGCATGTAAATGACAGGGCATTTACAACATCATGAATGTCAAAATGTGTCAACTTGAGTGATGTTGACATACCTGTTAGCGGGATAGACTGGCAATAGTGTACTTGTGATCTAGGGTTCCAGTGAATATTACTGACAAGATACATGCCAGGTTGCAGGCTGTATTGCTTTAATTGCTCGTGGAAAAAAAAATAGAATGCCATGTGATATGTAAATCTTCCCCATTCACATACCATAGTTAATGGACTTTTAAAGTCTAGTCTCTCTTTGCACTATTGTTTCATCAGTTTGTGATCAGCTGTGATCTCGTGGCTTGATGGAACTCTTTTAAGGTTCCACGGTGACAAAAATGTGTCTGGAACAATACAAATCTCACTGCAGGAGGGTGCCAAAGGTTCACAAGTGTGGTTCAGGCCCAAGGTTTGCAGGTGTGGTTCTGCAAATTAAACATCCCACATGCCTTACTTTTTTGTCTCTTGTTTGCTACTCCTGCATGTGTGGCACAAGGTCCGAATGTTCCATGCTCAAAAGAAACAAGGGATTTGCTCTTCACAGAGGCTGACGAACAGACCGCCCCACTTCCATACTAAGTGGCTGTGTGTTCTTCTCGGTTTCTAGTAACTCATCGAAGATTTCCCTAGAAAATACCGGAAGGATGATTATGAAATCAATGAACACAAACCGGCTGTACAAGAGGAAGATAGTCCTGAGGAAAGGGAGAATGACATACAGGGAATGAGTGGTTTCACTTAAGCCTTGGAAATTTCAGAACTATAGACCCTCCTAGTGAAACCTAAAGAATTACATCTCTGCACAGACCTCTAAGCAGGGCTCCTGGAACTCTGAAACCATTCAGAACCAACTGGAAGCTGCAGTACAACCCAACAACACATTATAGCAAATCTAAGAGCATGTTAAGTCTTGCAGGGAAGAGGACAGCCAACATAGAATAAATTAATGCTAATAAAAGGGTTTGGGGGAATATGAGAATGTACAGATACTGGACTATATACCAGAGGAAAACATATATTAAGGACTAATGCTTAGCTGAGATACTCAAAATCCTCTTTAAACATGCCTTTAACTCAGCTCTCATCACACTACAACAAACAAACAGAATCATAAGATTAGAAGGGGCCGCAAGGGTCATTTACTCTAATGTCCTGCCAACATACAAGATTTGTTGTGTCTGAACTATTCTGTATTAGCAAAGGATTATTCTGTGCTACTGAATTTTCAGAGGAAGCTCCAATGCTGGTCAAAATCATATGCAGCAATAGCAATCAAAATTAAGCTGCACTGACAATATTAGCTTTGGCAGCTCCACTGGAGAGGATGGTAGGGAGGGAGGCACAGAATTTCATGACTGCTGAGATTCTCTTACTTGTGCATGTAAAAGAAGATATAGCCACTTCGGTCTCTATCACACTGCACGGAAGCCTCTAGAGTTCTAGACACTTCAAGGTCGTTGTAGGTGAACCAGGACTGTTTCTTGATATCATAGACATCACTAATATAATGGCCTTTTAAAAAGAGAGGGAGAAGCCATATTTATTTTCATGCTATAGTTCAAAACAAAACAGTAAATTGCTGCTTTTCTGCATCTTTAAAAACTATTACAACCATTTTCAATTGCATTTCTTTAACCTACACAAGAACACAGAGAGAAAAATACCGTATTTCCCCACCTGACGAGGATGTGCTTCCAATATGGCTGACAATGCTGATGAGACGATAAGAATGCGGGAGCTCTCCTACCTGGAAAATACAATCCATTAATTTGCTTTTAAGTATGCTCTTAATTCCCCTTGCTCAGAACAACAGGCCTTACAGAAGAGAGACTCTGGCTTCGGGTACTCTCTACACAAAGTTCAGCCCATACGGAATCAGGCCCAAAGGAAAACTGCTCTTTAAAAATGGTGTTTTTGTTGTTTTGTTTTCCTCCACTGCTGGAGAAAAATGAACAAAGAACATAGGAACGCCCATACGGGATCAGGCCCAAAGGAAAACGGCTCTTTAAAATTGGTGTTTTTGTTGTTTTGTTTTCCTCCATTAACCAATCTGCTAATGGAACAGCAACCATGTAGTCATTTATCAGAGGCGTAGCCGTGTTAGTCTGAAGCTGCATCTGACGAAGTGGGTCTTTGCCCACGAAAGCTTATGCTCCTACACTTCAGTTAGTCTATAAGATGCCACAGGACTCCTCGCCGCTCATGTAGTCATTGTTTTGATTCCAAACCAGAAACATACCTAGTCCTCCATTTTGCTTTGCACTGCCAATTGTGTAGACCAACTATTTCTTGAGTGATTATTTTCCACTGGCATCAATAAGACCACAAAGTTTAAAAAAAAAAATCAGAGAAATACATTGATTTTTGCAGTATTAAAAACCCATTTGTCTAATGAGGTAAATGAGTAGAGAGAGACTGGATTGGTGGCCTAGAGATGCTCTCTTCCCCTGCTCTGCAGAAAGGAGAAAATAGCCTTCTCCTCTTATTTGGAAGCAAGTTCTTCTCATCAACTCAGCAGCGACAATTAAGAACAGGTAATGCTGGCTGGCTTTAGAGAGATTTCCTAGTCCTCCTTGGCCTGACAGACCAAGTGATGTGCGGGGGAGGGATGTTAAAATGCATTTAATTAAGTAAGCGTGTAACAGTTACACTCCGGGGGGGGAGGGGGAGAAGAGGAGGGGACAGGGAAGGCAATTGGCTCCCCACATGCACTGGCTCCCGTCTGCCCTCTGATAGAGGCAGCAGCGCAGGGGGAAGGAGGGGACAGGCAGCTTCCTGCTGGTCCTGGGAGCCTGTGTGTAACTGTGAAGGTTAACCAGTGAACTAGGCTCATCCGGTAGCAGTGCACACAGATACCCTTTCACATCCCTACTGTGGGGATTGATGGGGTATGACAATACAGCTCTCTGATAAAGGTACAGCAACTGGAAGGGAAGTAAAACTTCTTTAAAGGACTTCCCTATAAAAAACATTAACTCTTTCCTTTCTAGATGGCCATATAGCATTCTCCTTACAAAAAAGATAAGTGACACTCAGTGGCTCAGATAGCATAGGCAGACAGCAGATGCTGCTGTTATATTCCATGCAGGTCTCATTTACAACTCATCTGACCCTAAATGTTCCAGAAGCCAGAAACCCACAGCAGTTACGATCACACACCACTCCACCATCTGAAATGCTGTTTCTTCCTGTGTGCTAATTAAGCAGCCCATTCTTGTGCTTGTTTGACACACAGCAGAATGCTTCCAGGAGTCAAATGACTCTCTTTCTCTGTCCTCCTCCCCACGCATATGATTTCTCAGAGCAACTGAGTAGTCTTGACAGCTCTTCTCACTGTAAGACATGATCTTAAGAGGGGGAGACTAACCATACATCATTTCCCAATGATAGTGGGAGACTGCTACTTAACAAGGTCCTCTAACAAAGTCCATATTTGCTCCAGAATATCTAGTGCTGACCATATGAAGAAGCATTAGTTCCCCATATGGTGCTTGAAACAACGGACCATCACCTCAGCATTCCTTTTCAGCTCTTCGGCTTCAGCTTCCGAGTACTCCATGTCGAGAACATCCTCAGTCCCAGAGTCCTCGTCAGAGCCAACACTGTCCAGAAGTGAGCTGTTAAATTCTAAATGGCATAAAGACACAAAGTTGCCATATCAGAATCTGCAGTCTATGTTCCTGTATATGTCGAAGAAGATACAGAAGGTTGGGGTATATTTATCTCCATAAGCAAACACAAAGGAAATGCTAACACTAAAGATTCTCCCTTCTGAGGGAAGCAAGAGACATTGAAACTTTACAAAAAAAACTACCTCTCCTCCCCTCTCCACCTATTCATCCATTTATTCAAAAAAGCAGTGACTTATGCTGTGTATGAGAGTCCAGTAACAGACTCTGAACTACAGATGGCAGAATAAAAAGTAACATACCAACCTTTCACCTTTTTTTTTAAAGTCAGTCTATGTTAGAAAGTGCAAAACCAGTTAGTGCAACAGTAAAGCTGCATGGCAAACTTTTTTGCAAAGTCCATTTGACTCCACAGCTGTGTTTTTCATAAGCTTTGATGGCCCCTGGTCAAAATCCACATTAAATGAACTGTACCCATTTTGCTCAGTGATTGGGAAGTTTCCATGGTGACAAGCATTTCTCTATAATTCAACTATAAACTCTATTCACAAGTACATTTATCAATTAAAACTGGCATCTCAACCTCCTGCTGGCAGCATCCATCTTTTCATTGTTTATACATGATGAGAAGGGCTGCTCCCTGCAGGAACTTTCAAAATGCTTGGCTGAACAAAATGCACACCGCTTTCTGTGCAAGGCGGAAGGGCTCTCGTACACACCGTTCTTAATTTTTTAGGATTCTGCAGTTATGCAACTAAAGCTTTTTACCCAGCACTTATTACAGAAGCACTTAAACTTTTCCCAGATCATTTAAATTTGCATGTTGAATCCTGATTGGAGTTCTCTGCTCTTCTCCGCTCCCTGGTCTTTTAAAACAGTCATGATGCCAGTTATGATGGAAATACTTGCCAAAAGGAAGGTTCATGCAACTTGCTCTGTAAAGTCATCAGACACTGGATTAGACTAATCCTCTCATATGTGTTTCACAGTTGAACCCTCTTAACTGAGAATGTTTAATTGTCAGGTCTCATGATGCTCTTTGTTCAGAGCTTTGTAGGCTACACTGTCCCAGGGAAACGCAGGCTGATAAGTGTCACACATGGAGGCACAGTGACAGAGGATGCTTGGTTTCAATGCACTGATAACTAAACCAACAACGGACCATGTTAAGCTGGCTATATGTGAGAAGGGAATAGCAGCTTCATAGTGAAAACTTATTAGCTTCCCTTTCAGCAGGTACATGCTGTCCCAATTATGAATGACATGACGGCATATGAAAGGCATTTGACAATATTCATGATGTCAAACAAAATTAAGTGACTGTAAATCAAGAGGATTCTAAATTTCTGCTGCTGGACCCTGCCAGCCTGCTACAGACTTGAAGTGCTGGAGGGAGAGTGACCTTAAGCCTGGCTGGAGAAGGAACTTTCTTTGCTAAAACACCACCCGTAATATCTGATAAAAGAGTGAACAGTGGGCTGCAAAGAGAGCCTGAGGACACTGGTTAGAGTACACAGTAGTGACTGGCTGAACCTTTATCTATACAATGTGGCATTATGTGTATTATGTTGCATAACTCCTGTTAAAGAGCAGACAATAATAACTGTCTTCAGTAATAATCAAGGGAGGACTTCTTAAGGAACCTAGGCAAGCTTAAAAGCGAATTTTAAGTAACACTCTTGTATTTCACCCTCACAAATGATGCAACCACGGGGCTTACAGTGCTACCTCAGTTTAGAAAGGACAGGCAGTGTTCCCACCCACGCTGAGTGCTCTTCAGTGCTACATCTTGCAGTGGGTTATTGACCTCTGTGTTCTCATTAGAAATAAAGCATTTTTCCATTATCCTAGGAAAATGTGTTACATTTAAGTATATTAAAATGTTAATCCAAAACTACAGAAATATGACAACCCAGGGCTTTGGGAACTGATTCGCCCTAAACGGTATTCTGCACCTATAGAGAGCTGACTTTTCGGGAACACAGAATTTAAAGATCCAAATATCTGTGTATAAAATATTTATAAAAAAATTGAACTTAGGAATGAAAAACAACTGCCATTTTCACACAAAGAATTTTTGCTGGCATTTACTTCCATAACTGAAAGAAATAAAACTGAAAGAGCCGAGCCAAGTACAACCAAACACAAAAAAGGGCATGAAATCCCAGCTGCCTTTCAGATGCTTAGAGTTGCATTCACACACACAGATATTTCCCCTAAGAAGCAGCATTTTAGAAGCTGTTAAATAAATTTTACCTTGTAGACTTAATTCAGTAGCTCGTTTAAGGTCATCGTCTTCTTTTTGTTCTCGTGCCTCCTGATGGAAAGAAAACAAAACTTAGTTCACTGAGACACTTCACTCTTTAAAATTCGTGTAGTGTGCTTTTTCTATTGAACTGTGATGCTTTGGTTTCTATAACAAACCTGACATTGTACATTAAAAGTTCCATGTGAAGGAATGTTTACAACCAGCAAGAGACCAATGTTCCAGTGCAACAGGACCTGGGACAAACCTTAATTAAAGCTTGTCAAAGCTGCTGAAGCTTGGTATGCAGCAGAGCAAGTCCTAGTAACACCATGAGCTCTCTCTGGATCATTGCTCTGAAAAGCATCATAATGAGTTTGTGAACCGTTTGCAAAGTAAAACTGTCACTTACACACAACGGTCCCCAGACTACGACAATGTATTTACTATTTTCTGAACCAAGCTAACAGAGAACACAGGCCTCAATCAAAAGTGAAAAAAAATCTGCTACACTTTATCTTAAAAATTACTGAGAGGGGCTTGGCATGCACCTTAAAAATTATATATATCTATAAAACTCCTGAACAATGGGTAATCCTGTGGCACCTTACACCCTACCTAAAGTATATATAATTAGTCGGTCTCTAAAAGTGCTACAGGACTACTTGTTTTTAAAAGTTACATGGCTACCCCTCTGAGATTACATAATTCATGGAATTTTTAGTGTATTTCCCAACTTCAGAAAAGGATTTTGAAGACATTACATCAATTAACCTTAAGAGGTGGACATAGATAATAAAAGTGAAATATTTTTAAGGTCTCTGCCCTGTCTCCTCCCACCTCTCTGAAAAGAGGTTGGTGATGTAGCAACATTTATTCCAGCTGAAGAGATTGTATGTGGCTGTCTCCAAAGCCAGCCAGCACTACTCTATGAACAAAAAACAGGACTATGTAGCACTTTAAAGACTAACAAGATGGTTTATTAGGTGATGAGCTTTCGTGGGCCAGACCCACTTCCTCAGATCTATGAACAGGCTCCTTAATTTAGGGTCTGAATTCACCTGCCTGAATCACAGGTGGAATGGCAGGTCCTCATTATAACTATACCAGAAGGTAACATGTAAATCCATTTTCCATTATTGTCATAGGGGTTTTTCATTTCAGTTCCTAAAGCACCTAGGAATCTGTATCTGAGATCACAGCTGAAACAAAGCAATCCATCAATGCGCTGCAAAACAAATTACACTAGAAGGAGGAAAATTTCCCCCTTGATATCTAGGTCAATTCCATCTCTTACAAGGAAGACCATGATAGCTAATGTCAACACAAAGCAGACAGGATCCTCAGTTTGAGGACTCCTAACAAATTATCTCATTCCCCTGCACAGTAAACTGTAGTGAACTCGATTTGTCCATGCGGGAAGGATGAAGAGTGAAGTTGACTGCAAGCTGTCTAAGTATTTCAAACTTGCAAAGAAGCAGGATTGGCAAAATTAGATTTTTTTCTAATGTTAACAATAAAAATAGATGCAGAAGATTTTTTTAATTTTAAAATATTTTACTTTTGACTCAGTGGTGCTGGAACAAGCTGTACAATGGGGGGCAGAGAGCCACTGAACCAAACTAAACCCTGTATATAATGGAAATCACTCAAGCCAGGGAATGTGGCAGCTCCCCAAGTTCCTGCACCCATACAGATGTTGGAAATTAAGGGGGGGGTTAGGGTTACAGTTAGAGCAGCACTGACAAGCAGGGCTGCAAGGGCTTCTCTGAACAGCTGAGGTGCCCAAGACAACAGGGCACAAGATGTGGGGGTGGCTGCTATCCTGGCCATAGGGTGCTGCTGCTTGCTTAGCACGCGTCAGAAGTACTGTAATATCTGCACCAGCTCCCAATTTATCTTGGCATGTAATTCGAGTTCCTAATATTAACTTAAGTGGTTTGGGATCGAATTATCTGAGAAACCTGCCCTTTTCCCTCATGTGATACCTCAGCTGTTGAGCTCAGAAGAATAGTTTGAGCTAAGCCTGTTCTGATTGAAACAAGAGAGCTGCTGGCATAGTTACTTGAGGGGGTGGTCATCTGCATCACAACTTGCTTCTTCCTGTCTCTTGACAGGCTGCAAGGCCTTCAAGTGGGGAATGAATTTGGGAGGTGAAAGGAAATTAGAGTGAGGCTTGTTAATTTTCAATACATAACCACGTGAGAGAAAGCTTTTTTTTTTTTTTTTTTTTTTTAAGTATAGGCGAATCTTTTAAATATCCAGATGTGACTGTCAACATCAACATTTACATACTGCTGTCAGGATTAATATAGCTGACCTCAATGATCGCACTGGATAGTGCATTAGAATCTGCTTTTCATGCTGGTCTCTCCTAGGAGATAAGTATTAGCAGGAGAGGTGATCGCACTGGGTAGTGCATTAGAATCTATTGTTCATGCTGGTCTCTCCTAGGAGATAAGTATTAGCAGGAGAGACAATTTGCAATGATTGTCCAAGCCTAGGGTGAGTTTTTATTTGGCCATCGGGTTTCTGAGGCTAGGACAGACTACTTAGGGAAGGGACTCTTCGCTCTTACTTGTTCTTGGAGGCTCTGAGCCAGTGCCTGCTGAAGTTCTTGCTCCTCCCGCTCGCGCTCCATATCGTACTGCTGCAGCCAGTCAACCTCCCCCTGCGAGCCTTCCGGCGTTTTGTTTTCCTTATTCTCATCAAAATCTTTAGTTATCTCAGTGAAATTGGCAGGACCTGAAGAAACAGAGGACATTTATGGCCCCTTGTTTGTTACCAGCTAAGTTCTTTATGCCACTGATTTCCTTGGAGCACAGCGGCATCTACTGGTAGAGGCTCAGCTCATAAGTTCTTGTGAATGTCTAAGGATTTGATGGAAGGGGAGAATGCTAGAACAAGTGTTCCATGTTTGGGACTGAGCAAGGTTTTATCAAAACCTCCTCTCCCCAGATTCTACACTTTCATTTAAAGCCAGCAGCCTTTGCCTAAACAAATGTGCCCCATTCTTCTAGGTTCTCACAACTGTGGCCCAAATGCAGCTAAATGACTTGCCAGTTACAATGTGTAGACTTAATCAGTGCTTACATACTGCTGTCAGGATTCCCCCTAAGGTGTGCGCCTGCGCGGCCGTGCACAAGAAATTCGAAGCCCGCCCACCTCCTGCCCAGTGTCATGTAGCAGCACTCACCTTCCTATTGGACATGGAAGGTGAATGGTGTGGCTGCTCCGGCTGAGGCCACCCATGGCCGGCTGCCAGGGCTGCATGGGTAGGCTGGGGCCATGTAGGGAGTGGCAGCTCTGCTCCAGCGGCCAGTGCCGCATGAAGGGGCTGTGTGGGGAGCAGCTGCTATGCTCCCGCAGACTGGGGCCGGTGTTTTAGGTGGCTGCATAATGCTAACAAAGAAGGAGTACTTCCTATGAAAACATAGCTTTGGCACAAATGCCAAGCACTTCTAGAAATCAGGCCATCAGGGTCTAATGCCAGCCCATAAGACCCTGAGTGACTTTCAGATGACACAACTCCTAGAAATGCACAGCACAGACTGTACCTGCTCCCGCAGACTGGGGCCGGTGTTTTAGGTGGCTGCATAATGCTAACAAAGAAGGAGTACTTCCTATGAAAACATAGCTTTGGCACAAATGCCAAGCACTTCTAGAAATCAGGCCATCAGGGTCTAATGCCAGCCCATAAGACCCTGAGTGACTTTCAGATGACACAACTCCTAGAAATGCACAGCACAGACTGTACCCATTACTAGAAAAGAAACGTAATCTGTATTCTGCCTTCTTTCCATTCCTTTTTCCAAACCTCACCTTGATTTTTCCTGAATTGAAAACTGAAACACTTAAGTGGCAGAGGAATCACAAATCCATCACCTGTTGATGCTCTGATGGTGAAAGCAACGTATTCCATCTTGCTTCTGGCAAGATGGAAAATATAGAAGGCACAAAGGGGGCCCAATGCACTGTGGCCATGCCTTGGTAGCCTTATAAAAGTTGAGATGCTGTAATTCAAACTTTAATGCTGGATCTCATACTCTTGATATTGCTAGCAAACCTGCCAACATCCTGTTCGTGTTTTGAATTCCGACAGTAATCATAGGAGTGGAAGAGAGGCCCAAGAGATCATCTCGTCCAGCTGGGGGAGAGTCCGGGAGAGGGCTATAAACAGGCTACTGAAAATTTTGCAGGATTAATTCTCTTTTAGTTGACTTCATATAAAATATTTAAAGTCATGCACCTTGTTAACAATCCCTTGTTTTAATATGTTTTTTCCATAACATTGTAAATGTTATATACATCCAAGCAAGTGCACATGACCTCAATATAGGCGCACAAGACAAAACTCACTCTGCTCATAAGTGGAAAATCGTAGCAGGAACACAGACTGCCATCCTAGATGATTTACAGATTTTTAAATAGTGCAAAAGCACAAGTACTTAAAAACTTTATAGTTCACCTGTAAGAAGAAAGAAGCTGTTTTACAAAGCTTCTGTAGGGAATATCTGTTGCCACTTCTCCTCTCTGCAGCATACTTTCAGCGCCCATTTGGCTACAGGTAAATGGTCCGCATCTCCCTACAAGAACTTGCAAAGCAATCTATTCCCCCCCCCCCGCACACACCACTTTGAACTGGAAAAGCAAATTTCCACATTGGTTCATTAGTTATTAGAGGATTACAGAAAGCAAAATGCCAGCATCTACGACATTCTGAAAATGCAGGACGTCCAGAATCAGAATTGTAACTCTGCTCAGCCTAATTATTTTTTCATATATTGACTTCTGAGATGAAGTTTCATTTGATAATACCTAACATTTTTAGCAGGATTTGGGGCTTATTTGGGATTGCTTATTCTGAAGGATTTTCATAATTGTAAAGCAGCATTTTAGTAAAACCCCTTTTTTAAACTGTATACAGATGAGACCAAATTAATTACAATTCTATTTATTTTTCATTACCCACCAGAGAGATTTGAGCCTTTATCCTCTGAATATATTAATCTTGCACAAAACAACTGTCTTCAGATGCTATTTCTATGCTACTCAGGACTGCAACTATCTACAGTTACAGAAAAAAGTGCACTCAGAATATGGAAGAGTAAATTCTGAATCCTGTTAATTTCAACAATTTGAACTCTATAGTCAGAAAATCAACAGAGGTGACTGTCAAACAGGAGATGGAAAAAAAATAATCACCAAACAAAACATTGGTGATGACCTCAAGTTTTGCGGAGACAAACTACAAATGTTTGATATGAGAAGATTTTCAAAATTCAACAAACAAAAAGCTTTAAAGACGGAAAAATTGTAAGGTGTTTATAGTTCTCCATGTATATCAGACACTGCATACAACTCACATGCAGTTCATGCACTGTATATCGCTGACCTCCTGTTGTAAATACCTACTTCAGAATCACCACCGCATCTGTTCAGTTAAGATAAAGTTACTTCTCATCATACCTGATTCTGTAGTTGGTTTGGATTTCTCCATCTCCGTAGATTGCAGATTTTCTGGCAATTCCTGCATCTCGTCCTCTCCAAAACCAGTGTCTGGGCTGCTCGTGGGTTTATCTTCATCATGGCTCACAGAGAATGAGGATTCCCTCTTGCTAATCTCTAACACGGCTGCTAGCAACTCATCCTCGCTCATTCCATCGAAACCGGCATTTCCCAGGTCAGACGATTTATCACACTCTGGTTTACCTCTTTTTGAACCCTACAAAAGAATGGATATAGGCTTAAAAGGCTTTAAAGACATCACAGAGGTGTCACATCCAGTTTGCATTTACTGTGCACATTTCTTCTGGATTAGCCAGCAGGAGGTGGCACTTTTGGTCATAATCATATTAGATACAGTTCAGATATACAGAATACGACTTTCAGGGACTAAGGTTAACTATGACTAATAGACCAAATACAGTGGTTTTCAACCTTTTTTCCATTTGCAGACCCCTAAAAAATTTCAAATCAATGTGCTGATGCCTTTGGAAAAGTGAGACAGTCTTTGACTCTCTAGGGTTCTACAGATCACAAGCTGAAAATCACTGATCTACAACTATTAGGATTTGGAACATGTGCAAGGATATAGTTCTCTCCATCTGTGATCACTCCTCCTTCCTCTCATGACACTCTCCATCAGACTATGGTGACCAATGTGCCCTGCATGTGCAGAATACATTTTGTTCTGTGCACCAAAGCATGTGTGGATGTGCACCACCAGTAAAAACACATGCTGCCAGCTCTTGGCACTCTGCAGCACCTGAATCTCTCCTGGGTGGCTACCCAAGCAAAGAGCTGACAGGGAACACTGCTGATGACCTCCATGTACCACTTGCAAAGTCATCACCAATAGGTGTTTAATGAAGCTAGGCAGAACAGACAAGAGATAACGCAACTTGAACCAAGAGACAGAAAGAGAGCCACTGAACCTGGACCAGGATGAGAAGGGAAGGGGAAAGAACTCAGTTTCTCAAATTAAACATAGACGGTCTGAGCACATGTAACCAGGAAAGAACAAAATATGACGATCAGGGCAACAAATAGCAAGGGATAAAAGAAAAAGAAATGGTTCTCTCACAAATAGACAGGACTGTCAACTCTGGCTAATGCTATATCTTTATGCTGCTGGTATGTTAACCAGCCCATGGACTGATGCAGTAGCCTTCTGTACTTATCAAGCAGCTGAACATACAAACTGGCTAATGCACCGGTTAACATAACCATGCACTCAGATCAGACATCTCTTACATCTCTGATTCTGTAAGATCAGTACTAGGGGTGTTAACCTATAATTTTTTACACAATTACCTGATAAGCCCAATTTTACCAGTTAATCTTCCACAAGATTCCCCTCTCCCTTAGTCCTGCTTCCACAACCCTAATGGTGACATGTACTCCCCTTTTGCTGCCTCTGTATCAGAGGCAGGGGAGGGGATAGAAGGCGGTGCTTGTGGGGAATGCCCCGCCATCACCAGCTACCACCTGACCCCCGTGTGTGTAAAAGTGTAACCACTAAACATTTAAGCAAATACACAATTAACAACATCCCTAATCAGTACTACCACAGGCAGACCATGGACAGGAAAGGAAGACAGGCAGGAGGGTGAAATTTTAGAGAGAGTTAGCCCAGTTAGCAATAACTGGTGGACTAGAAATGACTGATTTGCTATTCACATAAATTGGCTTCATTACTCCATTTTTGCAATAACATCTCTTGTCCCAACAACACTGCAATCTCTCACCTATCCCTTGAGGAGAGTGCAAAGCAGAACCCTCAAAGTTTGTTTTACTTGCCATTCCCCTCCAATACAACCCCGAGGCAACTCCTTCCTACTGCACTTATAATGCCATCATACAGGCAAGAAACATCTGTCACAACACAGACCTCAAAGGCAAAACATATTGAACTATGCCCCATCAGAAACTAGGCCTCTAAACATGTCTAGTACTCATCACCTGAGCCTGACAGCTTCACTCTTCAGGGTCCAAAACACTTAACTTGAGAGATCACAAACTCAATAACTGTACATTATTATTTTTTCTTCCCCATCCTCAATGCGTATCTTGGCACCGGATTTAAACAAAGAATTTTACTGGATAATTATTACCAGTGACGTGTTTTCATCCTGCATCAGCCAGTGAGCAGCTTCAACGGAAGATCATTCAAACACCCTCTAAACACAGAATAGTGAAACTGTTGTGCAGTTGGCACACCTGAGCTAAAGACTTCAGTGCAGTTCTAATACAAATAACTCTACTGCCAATGGGATTCCAAACCAACACATACAGCGAGGTCAATTAGATTCCCCTTCAGCAGCATTGTGCTAATTATGAACCAATCTTGTATTTTCATCTGTTTTATTCACAGTCTACTAGATTGACAGTCCAGACACAAATATGCAAAGGATTTGTTTAGGTTTGAAGGGGTCTGTTTTCCCCTCTCGATAACGGAAAAAGCATGTGTATTGTAAGTCCTACAGAGAGGCATCTTTTACCTTTTCAGGCTCTTCTTGCTGTTGCTGCTGCTCTCTGCTTTGTACATCACACAATCTTTGACTGTGAGCAACAGAACGTTTCAATGGCTCATCCTCACTATCTGAATCCACATAGAGTGCCACGGAGCTCTTAGATTTGAATGTATATTTTCTGCAAATTAAAAATGCAGCTATAATTTTCTAACACCGTAGAAACCTGTTAAATTGTTTTAAAAAAAGGAAATTTGGGTGCAGATAGGACAGTTATGCAGACTTAGACCAGACTCCAGCTTGCTGTATTTTAAAATCTATCTACTTAGCAGATCAGTGTTCTATCCTAGCTTATCTTCTGGTACATGTTACTATATTCCTTTATAAGGTATTCATAAAGAGAACTTCCTCGCACTTCTATGTTTAGGTATTTACAGTGCATGAACAACGTTCTGTAAACATTAAGTGGACTCCACTGTAGTATACAGAACACATTACTAATATACTGCTTAATTTGGGAAAATTATATAAACACTACAATTATTCTCTGAAACCAAACTGTATAGATCATAGGGATGCTAAATAGTTTTGGCAGGACAAAATTTCACACATGTAATATTTTTCAAATTTTCCATTTGGCCTTTTGGGTGTTAGCTTTTGGTTTTATTAAAACCAAAAGCAAGGATGGCACCAGAAGGTGTCAAATAAAAGCACTTTATATAGGTTGACAGAGAGGCTCTCTACCATTCCAGACTACTGTACCGCTTTCTGGAGTCTGATTTGTATTGCATTCCCTAAGTTTCACCTCACTAAAAAAATAGTTTGTTTACAAAATAAGACATAAGAATACAAAAGTGTATTAGCACACTATTACTGATAAATTGCTGACTTACCATATAATTATAAAAATAAATCATTTGGAGTATGAACATTGTATTTGCATTATAGTGTATTGCATACAGAGTGATATAAACAAGTCATTGTATAAAATTGGACTTTATATTGACTTCACTAATGCTTTTTATGTAGTCTGTTGTACAAGTAGGCAGTTATCTAGATGAATTGATGTATTCCCTAGATGACCTCTGCATACCCCCACGAGTACACCTGATGTATTCCCTAGATGACCTCTGCATACCCCCACGAGTACACATATTCCTGGTTGAGAACCAGTGGGTTAAGAAAACCTGTGCTCTCCACATGCATCTTCAAGTGCCTTCACTTTTATACAATGTAACATTACCCTACACTACAAGTAACACAGTTTCTCAGAATGAAGTATAAAAACAATGTCCAACCCTACATATAAAGCCTAGGATTAAATGACTCTTCCAGAACAACTTTGGTGTGTCAAATGTAAGGACAGAGAAAAGAGCTAGCTTTTCAAATAAGAGACTATTTTGCTTCTCTGGAAAACAACTTCTAAACCAACTTGCTTACTGTTCTGGTTATAACTGGTTCTTAAGAGTGGAATGATAAGAGTACAGACAAACTAAGTTCAGTTGTCCTAACTACTGGAAAAATCTAATCTATGTTATAATTATAAACCTCAGAATACAGGTTTATAAGAATTATGTGGAAAGATAAAATGTGGGACGTGTGACAACCCACAGTGCCCTTAATCGTAACATTATCCTACACTACAAGTAACAGTTTCTCAGAATGAAGTATAAAAACAATGTCCAATCCTACATATAAAGCCTAGGATTAAATGACTCTTCCAGAACAACTTTGGTGTGTCAAATGTAAGGACAGAGAAAAGAGCTAGCTTTTCAAATAAGAGACTATTTTGCTTCTCTGGAAAACAACTTCTAAACCAACTTGCTTACTGTTCTGGTTATAACTGGTTCTTAAGAGTGGAATGATAAGAGTACAGACAAACTAAGTTCAGTTGTCCTAACTACTGGAAAAATCTAGTCTATGTTATAATTATAAACCTCAGAATACAGGTTTATAAGAATTATGTGGAAAGATAAAATGTGGGACGTGTGACAACCCACGGTGCCCTTAATATTTGAGCCCTTGAATATGCAATTTAAGCACAACTTTGGAGCATGGAAAAGAGCGTATAGTCAGAATAATTCAATAGAAAAATCAACAGGGAGTAAAAATGGTAAAGGAAAACACAAGTGGGAGAGAAAGGCAATATTGTTATTTACATGTGCAAAAGAGAACCCCTAACTCATGGAAATTTCATAATTTCAACTCACCTACAAGGTGTGGAAGTGCTTACAGTACAGGAATTCACCATTTGGGAGGCTTTCAAGGGTCGAGAACTATAAAAAGAGCAAAGTAATTATTGCCTCAGTTACATGCTGAGAAAAATGTGTTTTTTACTCATCTGCATGTTAGCCCATGACCAAAAAAGCCATAAGGGAAATACCCATTTGTATTTGTTTATCACAGATAGTTAGAGTTAGAATGCTATGTTATGAATGTAGAAAAGGTGTTCATAAAAATAATTAACCCTTTCAACTTGACTCACCTCTTGCTGGCACACCCTAGGACAGCTCTCGGAGTTAAAGCGTGCAGTACTCCTGTCAGGAGAGCAACTCATTCCTTTTTCTACCACCTTCCCTGCTCCTACTGCCAACTCAGGACCCTGCTCTCCCACAATCTGCCCTAGTGGCTTTACTGGCTCCCTTATCTAGTGTTTTTCTTTCTTTCTTTCTTGAAAAAAAAGTTATCAATTATAAAAATATGGTGTTGAAAAACTGTATTCAAAACTAGGCATGAAGAACACGTGGGTGATATTGCTCAACATGCCAGATACATCCCAACTCACTATGCTATTATGGTTATAGCACTGGACTGGAACACAAGAGATCTGGATGCTGTGCCTCACTCTGCCATCCGTCAAAATGAGAAGCTGTGGTACACCCACACTTGGAATGCTGCCTGCAGTTCTGGTCATCCCATCTCAAGAGAGATATTAGCAATGGAAAAGGTGCAGAGAAGGAAATGAAAACTATACGGATATGGAACAGATTAAAAAGGATAAGGAGAGATTAAAAAGACTGGAACGGTTCATCTTGGAAAAGAGACAACCAAGAGGGATATGATAAAGGTCTATAAAATCATGAATGGCATATGGAGAAAGTGAATGGGGAAGTGTAATTTACTCCTTTAAATAACACAACTGGAGGACACGAAAAGAAATTAATGGATAGCAGGTTCAAAGGAAAGACTTCATCAAATGTACTGTCAGCCTGTGGAACTCATTGCTATGGGATGTTGTGAAGGCCAGAAGTGTACTGGGTTGAAAACTGAATGAGGAGAAATCCATCCGTGGCTATTAGCACAGACTGTCAGGGACACAACCCCGTGTTCCACGTGTCTCTAGCCCAGGGGTGGGCAAAAGCCGTTCAGCGGGCCTTGATCCAGCCTGCGCGGCAGTTCCAGGCCTCGCCCGCTAGCGTGTTGCCTGGGAGCCGGAGACGTGCGAGCCCCTGTAACTGCATCTATTAAAAGGGCTCGCACCTTCCTTGCACTTGTCAAGTAACGCACTGCCTACAGGAGCAGTGAGCCCTTTAAATAGCAAGAACTGAAAGGGCTCGCAGCTCCCATCCCCCTCCTGGGAGCTGCAGGGGAGGCGCGAGCCCTTTCAGCTCCTGCTGTTTAAAGACCCACCCCTTCTGCCCGAGGCTCCATCCCCTCCGGGGCAGCCTATGACCACTTCAAACATTTTTGAAGTGGCCCTTATTGAAAAATGATTGCCCACCCCTGCGCTAACCCCTAGCTGCCAGAAAATAGGACTGGATGATAGGGTATGGATAATTAAAGACTGCCTTATTCTATTCATTCCTCCTGAAGCAGCTGGCCCTGGCCAGGAATAGGCTACTGGGATACACAGACCCTTGGGTTTGATCAAGTATAGCCACTCTCATGTAATACTCCCTTCCTTCACATTGTTTGAGGTAATAGATACCGTAGTGACCAGCAAGACAAAAAAAAATCCTATAAATAAATTAATGGATAGGACAACACAGCAAAAGGTGCAGGGGAAAATCAGCAGTGAAAGGATATGAAGTTACATCTTATGGTAAGGTCTATCTTGGTGCACCAAATATGTAGGGCCCTACCAAATTTGCAGCCATAGTTGGTTTTTAATTTTATAAGGGGAATCACAATGACCTTTCAGAGGGTAGGAGCAATTTTTTAATTTCTTTTATTAATTTGACTCTCTCTTTAGTAGGTCTTAATAACCTCTTGATATCATCCCCTCCTGTGTGCAACACATGAACTTAATGCCCGAGAATAGGTAAATGTGGTAAATTCTGCACTCCATACTTACACTGCAGAATGTGCACTCCATCCCAGAGTAAGCGGGGGCCTAGTGCTTTCTGTACAGTGAGATAGCAGAGTTAAATATCTTGGTATAACCACCTGCTGTCCAACTTTGTGATTGAGAGAGAGCGCCACATTGAAGCTATATCGTTTCAGATGAAGAATCAGAACCCTGAAAGACAGGAGGCAGGGCAGAAATAGCATTAAGTTCAAAACCAAAGTCAGTAGCCAGTAAACGAACACATCCAAAACCCCACTTGCCCTACCTACAAAATAGTCACCTCAGTTTCTAACATTTTATTATAGTTCTGGGAATTAGGCCATTTAGGGCTCTGTAGATAATAAACAGCCTCCTGAACATAATTGGGGTATTTCCTGGCTGCTAGTTCAGAATGAAGAGCACTGGTACAACGTGCTCTCAGACTGAACCTCCGAGGAGACAGTTCTGTGACCGCTGCTATCTAGCAAGACCCTAAAGTTGCAAACCATTTTACCACTGGTATCCTGCTGTGATGGAGCAGTCAAGACTCTGCCAACTCATAAGACTTCCTGCTTCAATCAGCATTATTTCGTTCATGCCCAGGATGAGCTTACGCCAACTGGCATTTATACAAGTCCTTATTTCCGCCAGTTAAAGAGAGCGCTAGGAAATAACTGAGTGCTTCCAAACAGAGCCAAGCACTATGATCACAGACTAGTGTCACCAGCATATTCCCATTGCCTCAAGGTATGCCCGACTGACTTAATGCACGTTTAACAACGGGAATGGCCAAGATCTGGTCTATGCTACCGTGATAAGTCAACCTAAGTTACATTACTCCAGTTACGTGAATAAAGTAACCGAAGCTGACATAACTGAGATCCACTTACTCCTGTGTTTACACTGGGCTGTGTCAACTGGAGATGCTCTCCCGCTAACTAACCTGATTCTTCTTGAGGAGCTGGCATACCAGGATCAACAGGAGAGTGCGTTACCATCTACTTAGTGGGTCTTCACTAGACCCATAACATCGACCCCTGCTGCATCGATCACAGCGGTGCCAATTTACTGCTAAGCCTAGACACAGCCTTAGACTGATGGGCCCTGAAAATCAAGCATCCTAGAGGAGAAAGGGCATCCCTAACACACACAAACTGTGCACAGGGGTTTGTTTATGAAATTACCACCAACCTTACAAATATTCACTGTGCTGTGAGCCTTCCCTCATGCATTGCATTTGGTGTTTAGTTAGACTAAGCAGGGGCCATGTGGTATTACTTGAATTATGGTATCATCAAATGGTCTAAATTAGGGACCCTGCACTCCATATGCTGGGTACTGTAAAACATACACCATGACAAGATGATCCCTGTCACAAAGAGTTTACAAAGGTCCCATCTGTATGAGGAAAAGCACCAGTACACTATCAGTACTGGTTCAAGAGTACTGTGTATTTCTACTGATATCAGCATGCCTAGTCTCTCAGCTACCACCCAGATACTCTGCTCTTTCTTTAGGACAAAACAGGCAGCTGTAAACCTCTCTTCACAAATGGAAAAGATCCGATTTTCCAGCGGGAAAGCCATATAGACATACTCCTCCTTGCAGCCCTACTATGCTTCTTGTGATATAGAAAGACAGCAAGAACCAAGGTGAAAGGGACTATTGGCCAAGAAAAGTGAAGTCCTACATTCAACTTGATGGATTTCTCTGTCAGTCTGGATGCAATGTGCTAACTTTTGAATACCACATTTAAGGGGGGAGGGATAGCTCAATGGTTTGAGCATTAGCCTGTTAAACCCGGGGTTGTGAGTTCAATCCCTGAGGGGGCCATTTAGGGATCTAGGGCAAATCTGTCAGGGATGGTACTTGGTCCTGCCCTGAGGGCAGGGGACTGGACTCGATGACCTCTCAAGGTCCCTTCCAGCTCTATGAGAGACAGATATATATATGGAGATATACCTAATCTATTCCAAATGGAGCTACTTCAGGGAACGTTCTAGGCATCAGTGGACAGACTCCTATTAATTTTAGTGAAAACTGGAAGGGGAAGTGAGGAATGCATGGAGCACCAGGTATATATCATACACATCAGCTTCAACCAGGTCCACCATAATTTAAAGATCAAAGAGTCACCTGATTGCAGCCATTAACAATTTCCATGTCACTCTCACTCTGACGCCCATCTCAGCCCTGTGCTTTCTCTCAGATGAGTTTACAATATTGATAACATGCATGATCTCTCCCCCAGGCCTGGTCTACCCTTCAAATTTAGGCCAACACAGCTACAGTTGCTCAAAAAGGAGAAAAATCCACAACCCTAAGCGATGCAGCTATGTAACTTAGCTCCCCTTGGGTAAGATAAAGGTAGGTCAATGGAACGTGGTTCTGCAACTATTATTGGTGTAGCTCTGTCTAACACAATGGGGTCATGCCAGCATGGTTAAGGCACTGCAGCTATGCCAATATACTCTCCAGCGTACACCGGACAGAAAGAAAATACATAATGGGGGGAGGGAGGAAGGTAAAGAGCTGCATGCATGGGGAGGAGAAGGGGGAGGGAGACATCAGAGCACAGCACCACAGGCATGTGGAAGAGGGGAGGAATGATGAGGGAGAATTCAGAGCCATTGGCTCTGGGGAGAAGATTGGGGGACATGGATATGGGGGCACACAAATACCCACCCAGGCATGTGGCAGAAGGAGTGAATAGGGGCATATAGAGCTCCTGGCATTGGATGCTGGGGGAAATGAAGGATAAATCCCCAGCATGAGCTGAAGGAGAGGGGTTTACAGGGAGTCCTGAAATAGAGGAAGCTGGAATGGTGGCACACAGGAAGTTGGGGGGACAGGATGGGGAATGGAATAAAGGAATGTAAGCCTTCCTTGCTGTATGCAGTGAGCTCTGTAGATAGAAGCAATGATACAGGCAATTTTCTAATGATATCTTCATTCTTTCCATTACTCTAGCCAAGCTGTCCTACATACCAACCCTTGTGTCCACTTTTGTGACATGCTTTTTGGGGAAAGTTCCAGAGTAGGATTTTACCCTTACCTGGGAAGCCTATTGAATTTGTGTGTAACAACTGCAGACTTTCCATTACACTTCTCACAAGAATACTCAATCTCCTCTGCCTATTAAAGACAAAGCAAAATATAAGGAGGTTTCAACCAGATGGCCATTGAAAGCAGATGGCCTTTTTCAGTCCAGTGGTTCCTCTGAAAGGAGTAGTCTATTTCTTAAGTTACTTCTAATTTCAACATTACATCCCCCCAAAAATGCATCTGATAAGAGAGCAAGAAATTAGCTTGCAACTGAAGATCTGTCAGTTAAGACAGGTAGAATTAGTTAGGGAGAAATCACTTTCTGCAAATCTGATACATAGAACTAGAAAACTGAAAGGGCGAAGAAATATTAATATTCAAAATGAGGGGGCAACAATTTTGCAAGCCCTGCAGATTCTCCTCTCAGAAACATTTACCATGTAGCTTTTCATAGCCCTTGCTGGACAATATTTAATTCTTCATATTCCTAGTCCAAGGCTCCTAATTTTCTCTCCTGAAAGGCCTTCTTCCTCTAAGATCATTACTGATGTATTGCAGTTAAATGGGATTTTGAAGCACAGATAGCTAGAGGAGATGAAAAGTATTGTGCAAGGAATATGCAGACAAGAGCAATATTTAGACACTGGCTGTTATTTATATAATTAATTTCTGTAGTCAGAGGTCAGGACCACACCACTACTCTTTTATTAAGGATGGTCTGTATCTCAAGTATAATCAATGGGTTTGTTATTCAGCCTTAGAAAGGATAAGTCTGAATTTCCAAGCAGTGTTTCATAATAAAATGAAGACTAGCGTATATAAAAGGGAGCAGAGCAGATTTCACAGATTAAAATATCTTACTACTGATCAGTTTTGATTTCACAGGGGACTCTTAACAAAATGCAGTATTGTGAATTTCACAGGAAATATTTATCTCCTGTTTTGAACAACCTCTATTTGCTATGTATGCATCTAGATATTTCAAATACTATAACTACTTTTAAATAAACAGATATATATGGCCTCTTTTCTCTGTACTGATTTTTAAAAAGACAGACTAGCTGTCCAACCACCCTAGCACAGGACTGATAGCCAATAACTTCTGAGTTCTAATCCTGAGGTAGACTCTTCTCTAGATTTACATAATTTGTCTGTACTTTAATCTCCCTATTTATTTTTTTTAAGTATAACGTGCATCATAGGGGAACTGTGAGTATCAGTTTGTGTCTACACAGTATTTTAAAATGAAAAGCGTTAGTGTGTTGCTTTCACACAATCCATACAAAGGACTCCAAGGTTGGATAGTCTGTATGCCTACAACCCCTGTTAAAGACCCAATAAAATGATTTGTAAGAATACCCCTCCCATTGCATGGAAACACACAGAACGGAATACTGCTATACTCTAAATATATATTGATATAATATGTGAGTGTTAGATAGATGTGAATAGTAATAAATAAGCATTATGTACCCTGAAAAAGAGATCAAGGGAATCCTGGATGGACCGAGATGGAAGTAATTTCTTTCTTCGGGGAAGATCAATGGAAAGATCATTGAACTGTTCTCGTTTAGTGACCGTTTCACCACACCTATAATTAAAAAAGCACACATTTTACTTATGCATGAGCTGGAAATATCTCACAGCTTACATGGTTTATTTCACAGTAATTTTACCCACATAGACATATTGTGCCCATTTTAACTCATCAAGATGATAAAGTCTCTCACTGGACTGAACTTATAACTTCAGTTCTGGAACCTGAATTTGATATTTTCATGTTATAAAGCAGGGGTGGGGAACTATTTTGGGTCAACTTCAGTTTTGGAACCTGGATTTGATATTTTCATGTTTTAAAGCAGGGGTGGGGAACTATTTTGGGTCGGGGCCACTGACCCACAGAAAAATCAGGAGGGGGCTGCACACAAGTGAAAAGCACAGTGAGAAGCCCCTGACAGAGGGAGAAAGACACTCCCCCCATTCCCCTTGCACACAAGAGCCTAAGAGGGCCTAGGCTAGCAGATTGTGTGCTCCAGTCCTGTGGGTGGGTGGCAGAGGGGCTGGAGCACCAGCATGGACTCCCCAGTGCTGAGTCTTGGTGGTCAGATCCAGGCAAGCTGTGGGCCACATCCTGCCCCCAGGCCTGAAGTTCCCCACCCCTGTTTTAAAGAAAGATTTCCTGTGAATAACAGTTGAGAGCAAGCATGAGTCCAAACTCTAACAAGTACTTTGGAGTCATCAAGGGATCTATCCTATGGGAAAATCATCATGCTCATCTGAAAGCCTTCCTATCTGCATCAACTCTCTTGGGAGGAAAGAAGTCAGCCAAACACCTTGGCTGTGTCTACACTGCACCCCTTTTCCGGAAAAGGGATGCAGATTAGACACTTTGGAATAGCAAAATCCGCGGGGGATTTAAATATCCCCCGCGATACATTAGCACCCCTTTCCGGAAAAGGGATGCTAATATAGACTTCGGAATTGCAAATTCCGCGGGGGATTTAAATAAGCCCTTTTCCGGAGAATCACGTCTAGACTGTCGCTTTTCTCCGGCTTATCCCCAAGCCGGAAAAAAGCGGCAGCCATGTTAATGCAAATACCGCGGGGGATATTTAAATCCCCCGCGGATTTTGCTATTCCAAAGTGTCTAATCTGCATCCCTTTTCCGGAAAAGGGGTGCAGTGTAGACACAGCCCTTGAGACAGCAAAAGGAAATCTGATTTTTTTTAAATGAAATACTAATATTAGTGCACCTTTAAAAACCTTAATTTCATTTCAGGATCTAAAAACTGGACTCAAGTTGGTATCATACAACTTTTAACAGCCCAACATGAGACACACAAATCAACTCCAGTTGTCTAGAATGGCATTAACACTAGCACACTACCAAACGTAACTGGTACTGGCCATATAGGGTGAATGACCAGGTAGATGTGCCAATTCAACACACCCTGTAGCCTCCACAGGCACAGCTCCTTATGGAGCCACAGGAAAACCATGGAAGAAAGATGGAGGAAATGCAGCCTGCCCACTTCTGGGAACAAGCCCCTTGCTGCTGTAAAGCCCTGACCTTGTCTAGTTGGCATAGATAGGAAAGCAAACAAGAAAGCACCTACACTGAGAAACTACGTTCTCTTTCTTGCAAAAAAGAGGTTTAAAAGCTAGTAGGCCGCTGGGCAAAAGTGTTAAAGAGCCGTGTGGTGTGAGGGTTTGCCCTATGAAGACATTTAAGAACAATCTTCCTGTGCAGTTTCAAGCATTTGAAACGTTTTCATTTCTGCTTATATCATATGTAGGAAAAGAAGGAAACTGCTTAGTACTACACATGGTCAGATGGTTTGTGGATGAATGAGCTCAGAGAATATGGCAATACTTCCCTCCACCTGAAAAACTTTTACTTCTTGGACTTCAAAAGTATTCTCTCTCAAAAATACTTACATTTTACATATGATAGAATGTTGAACCTCAAACTCTAAGTTAGAGATAACTGGACAAGTATAAATTTTGGTGGCTGAGATGTCATCAGAGGCCCGTCCTGGAGAGTTATCTTCACCAGACACTGGCTCACTCTTCCAAGTTTTGTTTAACTTTTCCATGTCCTCCTTCAGCTGATCTAAACACTGGCTCAAAAATTCATGTGCATCCTAGAAATGATGTAAATTCTTTAGATTAAAATGACTCTCTGCGTGTCCTGCTTTCAATCTCTCTACTATACGAGTGTAAGTAAAAACACAGATACAAACATACAGCCTCTCAATACAATTGTCTTAGATAGGATCACATGAAAGTTATGTTATAACCACAAACTGGGATAATAACTATCCATTCAACTAACAGCTTTTAAAGAGAGAGCACTTACATTTTGCATGTAACCTGAGAATCTCTCTGCAGTAGCTGAAATGGCACTTTTCACTTTCTTGAGCAGCTCTTTCTTTACTTCAGGGCTGCAAACATCCTTTTTAGCAAGCAGATGGGCAAAGCGTCTGAAGAAATTAATGCAGTGAGAAGTTGATTGGTTGACTTTCCAAATCTTATGGTAGGTGGTGTAAAACCTGAAGATTCCTCTCTAAAAAACATTTGCCAAGTCTGTTTTCCATTAAGGGATGAAGCAGACAAGATTCAACTTGTATAACATCCCACAATCTGTCCCTACTAGGGATGTGACAGTATATACATTTAAACGGTTAACCAGTGAACTTGGTTACACACAAACCCCCTCCCCAACCTGTGCACTGCTGCCTCTATCAGAGGCAGCAAGGGAAGTGGGGGAGGAGCAGGCAGGAGCCGGTGCTCCTGGGGAGCAGGCTTTTAAGCAGGCTCCCTGTGAACACCAGCTCCTAGGGAACTGCCTACCCTTCTCCCCCACAGCTGCCTCTGAAACAGAGGCAGCAGTGCAGGGGGGCAGCCAGGAGCCAGTACACACAGGGAGCCAGTTTAAAAGCCAAGGGAGCTGTCTCCTCCTTTCCTCTCCCCACTCTCCCTGCTGCACCAGAGGAAGCAGTGGGGGAGGCTTAAAAGTCAGCTCTCCACTGGGGATGTCAAATATTGGTTAATTGAATAGTCGATTAACCTCATGATTTCTGTAGTCCCCGGGGATGAGGCTGGTAGCCGGTGGACTCTGGCCCCTCTCTGAGAAGCCCCCTGCCGCTCTGCACTGCTGCCTCTGTATCAGAAGGCAGGGGGCAGCTGGACTGTGAGGAGAGCTAGTTTAAAATTCAGCTCCCCTCATAGACTGGCTGCCTGTTGCTCTGCGCTGCTGCCTCTGTATTAGAGGCAGCAGTCCCTATCCAGCGCAAGTCGGAACTGAGCCAGGCTGCCTGCCCGCCTGGCTCCTAATACACTTTAAATGTAAAGCCTCAGCAGAGGTAGGTCTTGGACCCAGCACAAGCCAGAACTGAGCTGGGCTGCTGGCCAGCCTGATAATAAAATGTAGTAGCAAGGTGGGAGGTTGGGGGGAAGAAATGCATGTAGTCTATAACATTAACCTATAAGCTTTTGCTTATTGGTTAATCAACTACACTATTTCATCCCTAGCTCCCACCTGTCCCCCCCATGCTGCTGCCTCTGATACAGTGGAAATTTTCAGCGGTTATACGTTTACCACCACCCCCCATCTGCATTTTAAAATACCTAGTCCCTACCCCCTAAGACTACAAGAATTTTAAAACATTACTGCTGATACAATCATTTCAGTGGCACTCTGTGTTTAAAAATTCATCAAATTTAAAGAGCACTATTAGAAATGTATGTAAAATATCTCATGAAATAACTTCCTATTAAAATAAACAGATAATTATCCCTAATTCTCATGGCAACAAACACTTTTGTAAATTCCACTCCCCCAGATGAAAGTCTTATTTCTTTTTGCAATCCAAGAAGTTGCAACATACAGCTTCATTCATTTATGGAACAGAGGCTGAAGAAATCTGGCAAGATGAAAGTTTGTTTTCACTTAGATAAACCATTGCTGTTGGTAATTTTATTAATACTAAAGTGTGATCTTCCCTACCCTTCAGTTACTGTGATTTAGTTAATTTCATAGGGATCTTCAATGGATAGATTAGATACCCTTAGAACAATACATTCAAAGCAGAACAATCTACACAATCAGATTTTATATAAGCAGATACATGAACTCTTCATATTGTAGAAGGCAGCAGTATGCATGCATTCAAGCGATATATGAAAAAGGAAAGAAAACTAAATTTGTTAAAATAATTTGCCTGAAAGAAAGCCACAGAAGGCAGACACTATAAAGCATTCAAATCAGTCTTGTACAACTACAATCACACATGGCCCTCCACCAGAAGATCTTCTTATAATGTGTCACATTATAATGTATCTACATAGTTTGCCTGCCAGGCTATAGAGCACCACCTTTAGTGCAGCTTTATGGTGTATTCATACAATTACAAGAGGAAATATATGCACAATATCCCCTCTGACAGAACAGGATTTAGTTGAGAGCCCCAAGTTGGTCTTCCGAAAATCTGTTTTTACTTTATCTGGGCTTGGAAGTAATAGTAGACAAAGTCTCCACAACATGGTTATTCTATGACTGATATCCTAAGGCCAAAACAACAAGGACTATGACTGGCCTACCTCTCAGAAGTTACCTACTATAGGACAGATTCCATGAAGAAAGCAACAGAATGCCAATGGCTATTTCTTACAGCCCCAGCTAAAACCTCTCCAATACACCATGAAGGCTTAAAACCTTACAACCTAGGGAATGTCTACACTACAGAGTTTTGTCGGAAAATCGGCTGTTTTTCCCACAAAACTTGAGGAACGTCCACACTGCAACTGCATTCTTTCGCAAGTAAATCGAAAGAACAGAGGGGGTTTTCTGACACTGGTAACCCTCATTCTACGAGGAAGAATACCTTTTTGCGAAAGAGCTCTTTCAGAAAAAGGTGAGCACGGATGGGGAAGAGGGAAGAGGAAAAAGCACAGGTGCCCTGGTGGCCATTCGGTCCATAGCAGTCATTGCTTACATGTGAGACAGCGTCCAGGCAGTCTAGACCAGTGGTCTCAAACCTTTTTACATCCAAGATCACTTTTTAAATGACAGACCAAGCCAAGATCTACTGCCCTGCCCCTTCCTTGAAGCCCCGCCCCTTCCTTGAAGCCCCGCCCTCTCTATTCTCCTCCTCTCCATCACTTGCTATCCCCAATCCTTATACTGCTGCTTATTTAAAAAGGTTTTTCCAACATTTGGAAGAGGTTTTTCAACATTTGGAAGTGGTGCTCAGCCAGGGTGCACCACGTGGGCTGGTGCAGAGAATAAGCTGCCTGGCCAGCTAGCTGTGGCCTTCAGCCCAGAGGAGGCTGAACCGTGCTCCAGCTGATCGGGCAGCTTCCCCTCTGTGCCTGCTGTCGACAGAAGGTGTTATTGAATGGAAACTGTCCTTTGCGTCCAGACTACCATGTCGACAAAAGCAGCTTGCTTTGTCAACAGAACTCAATGTAGTCTGGACGCGCTTTGTCGACAGAAGTTTTGTCGACAGTATCTGTCGACAAAACTTCTGTCGACAGAAGCCTGTAGTCTAGACGTACCCTTAGAGCCACTGACATCTACCGGTAGATCACGATCTACTGGTTGGTGACCACAGGTCTAGACGCTATCTTTCGAAACAGCACATCAATGCGCTTTTTCGATGTGCTTCTGCAGTGTGGACGCGCTCTTTTGCAATAAGTTTTTACGGAAGATCTCTTCCGAAAAAAGCTTCTTGTGCAAGCCTGTAGTCTAGACGTACGTAACCTAGTCTAGTTGATTCCTTGCTTCCAGACTTTGAGGCTATGTCTACATGACAAGGTTTTTGTGCAAAAACTGGGAGAGTGAGCGTCCACACCTCAAGTGCGTTTTTTTTTTTTTTGCACCAAAACACAGTACAGAGGGCTTTTTCTGGTAGAGTTATTCCTCTCCCCATGAAAAAATAACTCCTTTTTGTGCTACAGCTCTTGCACAAAAAGGCACGTGTAGACGTTCTGCAGAGGTTTCTTGCACAAAAAGAGCCTATCAGAAAAAGCACAGGTGCTCTGATGGCCATTCTGTTAACGGACATCAGAGCTTTCTTGCGCAAGAGCGTCCATGCAGCGTGGATGCTCTCTTCCTTTGAGGTGTGGACGCGCTTTTGCTCAAGAAGATCTCTTCCACAAAAAGCTGCTTGCGCAAAAAACCTGCAGTGTAGACAAAGCCTGGGAGGCAGGCCAGTGCACGCTTGCAGACCACCCTCCTGCCCACAACCTGAATCATATGCCACCAGCCACGTAACAGAAACATTAATCCAGAAGTCAATCCCTGAAAAAGACCCAGTTGCCAACTCTGTCCACATTGTCCACACTTGAGGAACGTCCACACAATTTTCTACCTTAGTGACACCATCATGGGATCTAACCACAACCACCACACCACAGGCTCATTCACCTGCACATCTGCTAATGTGACATGTGCCAGCAATGCCCCTCTGCCATGTACACTGGGCAAACCAGGCTGTCTCTATGCAACAGAATACGTGGATACAAATCAGACATTAAGATAGTAACATCCAAAAAACAGTGGGAAAATATTTTAACCTCCCTGGACACACAGTTACAGACTTGAAAGTTGCCATCCTCAAGCAAAAAAACCTTCAAAAATGAGCTGCAACATAAAACTGCTGAGCTGGAATTCATATGCAAATTTGATACACCATCAGAATTGGTCTGAATAGGAGCTGGGAACGGCCCTCAGTACAAGAAGTTAATTTTCCACTTGATGTATTCTCACCTTCTTATTCACACCCACCCCAACTGAATTAGCCCTGGTGTAACACTCCCATCTCCGTGTCCCTACTGTTTAATTTCACGTAATGCAACTGATGAAGTGAGTTGCAACTCATGAAAGCGTACATCATAAGAACATCTAGTTTTCAAAGTGACGCTGGATATGTTTTTGCTGAAACAGACTAACACTGCTACCTCTGAAACCTGTCATCCTAAGGCCAAAGAGAGGTCTTACTGCAAATCCTGGCAAAAGAACATTTCAAATGGCATATAGAACTGCCAAGTTAGTCCAAAACAGTGCAGGAAGAGTTCAAGGAGCTGAAGAAAGATTTAACAGAAATAGAAAAGGTCTGAAGACAGACAACAAAAGCAATTACAGATATATAAAATGCCTTCCATAGGAGGAGAAATTAAGACTAGAACCATTTAACTAGGAAATGGGACAAATAAGGATAGCAGTATTTAAAATACTGAATGGTCAAAGGAGGGTAGATCAAACACCATTTGCCCTTTCTGATAATACAAGAACCAAGGGATAGTCAGTGAAATTTGAAAGGCAACATAATCAAAACTGGTAAGAGACTAAACTGTTTTACACAGCACAACTCATGTGCTGTTTAAAACCCAGCATCGAACTCACTGCCACAAGGTATAACTGAGACCAACCAAAAGCTTGGCAGTATTAAAAAAAGATTAGAAGTCTTTATGAACAATAAACCTCTACAGTTACATAAAGAACAAAAAAGGATAAAACATATAAGCCCTCATGTGCTAGAGCATACATCAACTATCAACTGCCTGGGACTAAGAAGCAGCTTCCTCTATTGGGAACAGGTTTCATATCTGTCTTATGGATTTACTTCTGTTTTTTTCTGGGGCAACTATTTCTGCCAATGTCTGAATTAGACAGACCACTGGTGTGGCACTGGTGTATCAATTCCTATGCAAGCTACTTTATGTGTCTAAAATCTGTCCTGCAGTAATTTATAAATTCCCAAATTATGATGGATTTTCAAAGAGAGCTAGAATTGTGTGCTGATTTCCTAATTTTACTGTAATTACAGCCAGGGTTTAAGGCACAATGAACTCCTACATGCCGTACTCAAGCATCATGCCCTACAAATTCACCCCAAGCTCTAGAAACAAAGTTATCATAAAAAAAATTCCCACCCAAGCAAATTAACATTTACCTGATAAGTGCATTGAGTGGAATTTTTTTCCAAGGGATACCCTGCTTAAGCAAATCATTAGCGAATGACTGAATTGAAAACAAGGACTGCAAAATGGCATTCATGTAGCAGGTATTTCCCAAGTTTGAAAACCTGAAAAGAAACAAAAGATACGATTGAACACTGACCTATCAAGGCATGTGCTGCGCTCCAACATAGCTCCTCCCCTCAGACCATTAGTTCCATTTCTTATTTGTTCAATTTTGTCTGTCAGGCTAAGCTACCTAGACTCTACGGGTATTTATACAATCTAAACATGAAAATACTGTGATCACTCATTTCATACAGAGAATAATTTTCAAATAGGCTTATTCCTTCCACAAGTTTGTTGGATTCACTGTATCAACTACTTACTAAGTTCTCAGGTTAGCAATTTGGCTAACAATGTTCCTTTTCCCAAACTGGGAAAGGGCTCCTTACTCAGGCACAATTCTCCCTGATTTCAGAATCAGGCCTTGAATTTGTTTCTATCCAATTAGTATACTTGAGTCTGCTCACATGACTGGGGGGGCAAAAAAGGCTGATATCGAAGTAGCTGAAACTTACCCTTGCAGTTGCTGTGGGTGGCTGGAAAGCGGCACTCGAGGTTTGTTCCATCCTGTGTAGTCTTGATTAGATCTCATTTTTTTAACAGAGAGTGGGGCAGGCTGAGAGAGAAACCCCAAGCTTCTTTTGGCTGAGGGTGTCTGACTTGATATGCTAGACCTAGGGATGTAAAAGGTTAGCTTGTAAGTCTCACCATTAATGGTGAGTTAACTGGTAGGGGCTGGAGCAGCTCGCTGCCTGCCCCAGGCAGGAAGTTGCTCCAGCCCCACAGGGACCATCAGAACAGCCCGTCTGGAGTGGGCCCAGACAGACGCCCATATTCTTTAGGTCTAGCTAAGTATGTAAAAATGCATTTAAAAATGTGAGCCGCTAAAACTCATAGCGCTTACACACGCTGTGGGCTCTGCAGTATAAAGCTTACATATACTTATTTATATTTATTTATTTAAGCTTTATACTTCAGGGCCTGCAGCGCGTGTATCCGCTGTGATCATAGAATCATAGAATCATAGAATAATAGGACTGGAAGGGACCTCGAGAGGTCATCGAGTCCAGCCCCCCGCCCTCAAGGCAGGATCAAGCTCCGTCTACACCATCCCTGACAGATGTCTATCTAACCTGTTCTTAAATATCTCCAGAGAGGGAGATTCCACCACCTCCCTTGGCAATTTATTCCAATATTTGACCACCCTGACAGTTAGGAATGTTTTCCTAATGTCCAATCTAAACCTCCCCTGCTGCACTTTAAGCCCATTACTCCATGTCCTGTCCTCAGAAACCAAGAGGAACAAATTTTCTCCTTCCTCCTTGTGACACCCTTTTAGATATTTGAAAACCACTATCATGTCCCCCCTTAATCTTCTTTTTTCCAAACTAAACAAGCCCAGTTCATGAAGCCTGGCTTCATAGGTCATGTTCTCTAAACCTTTAATCATTCTTGTCGCTCTTCTCTGTACCCTTTCCAATTTCTCCACATCTTTCTTGAAATGTGGCGCCCAGAACTGGACACAGTACTCCAGCTGAGGCCTAACTAGCGCAGAGTAGAGCGGCAGAATGACTTCACGAGTTTTGCTTACAACACACCTGTTAATACAACCTAGAATCATATTTGCTTTTTTTGCAACAGCATCACACTGTTGACTCATATTCAACTTGTGGTCCACTATGACCCCTAGATCCCTTTCCGCCATGCTCCTTCCTAGACAGTCGCTTCCCATCTTGTATGTATGGAACTGATTGTTCCTTCCTAAGTGGAGCACTTTGCATTTCTCTCTATTTTTTTCACATGTACACAGTTACATTTTTAAATGCATTTTTACACCCCTAGCTAGACCCATAGTGTAAAAAAAACATACAATGTAAGCTTTTGACCGCATTATTCTTTCAAGAAATGGCAAAGACAACAATTATAACCAATGATAAAAATGACAACAGAATCAGTCTTACCCATAGCTCTTGACAAGGAGCTGCCTACTTACTCATGGCAATTTAAATGGGATTGAGTTGCAGGAGAGAAGGCTGCCCTACTCTACCTTTATTAGATTATGACTTGAAGAATCTCAAAACAGGACTCTCATACAGGAATCAATTCACTAATAAAATGGTGTCGCCTTTGTAATGAAGGGCAGCAGCCAGGCAGACAACTGGCGCATGCTACATTGCAAAATAGCAGCCTACATATGGGAAGGGAAAACACTCAACACCCAACAACAGACAAGCCTTTGGCTTTTAAAATACCATTGGCAAATCCCTACACAGTAAGCTCTGGGAAGGATGGTTTTGAAATTAAACCAGACTAGACAACAACCCAGGAGATTTAATTTGAATTCATGGCTCTGCCGCTAACTTCCAATGGAAACCCCGGGCAAGTCACTTGATCGCTATACCTCAGTTACTCATCTCTAAAGTATGAATATTTCCTCCTTATCTTTTGGCCTAATATTTGGGGGCAGGAAATATGTTTGGTACTTAGCACAAAGTAGCCTCAATCTTGCACTACTGGAATGTAACTAGTGCTTATAAAAATAATCCAAGTTTATTTGGAAAGGCCGAAGGCTGATTCAGTCTTGATGGGATTTCAATCTGGAATTCTAGAGTTTAAAATATCTAAACGTGACAGTTAAAAACATCCACTCTTCCTGCAGAGCTTGTTTCTGATCCCAGATTCTTCCAAATCCTTCAAGTAACATGGTGTTAAACAATCAGGCCAACAGAACTGAATCTGGGTCTCTGATCTTCACTGACTCGGTGACTTCTTTACTCAGCACCAGCAAAGCTTCTCAACAGAGAAGTCTGTTGTGTATGGCTCTGATGCAACCAATGCTTTTCTTGGGGAAAGCTTACAACATGCAGATTTGCTTAGGAGCTTTTAGGAAGTTCATCTAGCCCAATGGGCATACAGACCACACAACAACCGAAGTCTTTGTACAAAAATATAGCACATTTCAGCAATCCTGCATTATCTGTTTTACAAAAATGAGATGTATTTGTTTTCATGAATAAAATATGTATATCATTTGGTAAACATGAAAATTCAAATGCCTAAATTCCTGAAAAACAGTTTTGTCCTGCAGGGATAAACATTATAGAGTCGTGCCTACCTGTCCAGGTTGGAATTGCCAGTGGAGTAGTCCTTTGATGTAGACCTGCTACCATAAAAGGAGGATGATTGTAGAGGCAAAACCCCTTGAAAAGCAACAGAAAAAAAGTTCGTTATTTTTCCAAGAAGCTCAGCTATGAACTAGAAATGTGAAGGACTAGTCAATAGGCTAGTTGACTAATTGCTTCCCACCCCACTTGCTACCTCTATCAGAAAGAGGCACCGGGGGGAGGGGGGGAGGAGAACTTCAAAGCAACAGCACCACTTGAAGCCTGGGGCCAGACCCCGGGCTCCGTGTGGCACTACCGCTTTGAAATGCAGCATGCAGCCCAGGGCCAGCTGGGGTGTCCCCAGGCTGCATGCGGCATTTCAAAGTGTCAGTGTTGCATGGAGCCTGGAATCAGCCCGGGACTCCCCTGCTGACCCTGTGCTCCGTGCTGTGTTGCTGCTTTGAAATGCCGTGGGGAGCTGATCATCAGGCTGCATGCGGCGCTTTTGCCTTTGAAGTGTAGCAACAACTGTTGCTACATTTCAAAGGCAGAGGCGCCCTATTGATTAATCGAATAGTCAATGCAAAATTAATTGACTATTTGATTAGTCAATTAGTTGGTATTTAACATCCTAACTATGAACTCTATTTGAGGAAGGTAAATGACTATACTTAATATGATAAAGGGTTAAAAATCTTTTCACCAAGCCATTTTTTCAGAATTGTGTAATGAAGAAAGCACTAGCTCGAAATACTATGTGCACAGAATCACAGAACCATAAAGTTGGAAGAAACCTAAGAAGGCCATCAAGGCAGGACCAATCCCAATTAAATCAACCCAGCCAGGGCTTTGTCAAGCCGAGACTTAAACATCTCTAGGGATGGAGACTCCACTACTTCTCTAGGTAACCCATTCCAGTGCTTCACCACCCTCCTAGTGAAATAGTTTTTTTCTAATATCCAACCTGGACCTCTCCCACTGCAGCTTGAGACCATGTAGTTTTTTTTCTTATAAGCTAAAGTTCTAAACTAAATGGGTTTGTTCCCTCCACCTGGACATTCTGATTTTCTCATTTAAAAAAGGCTGTTAAAAATGTAGAAGTAAGTAGTGAAACAATGTAATATGTTTGAACAGCTGATAAATACATGAAAAGGCATACGCACACACCCCTTCTTAGCTATGATTTTCAACACAGCGGATGCAACATCCAAAGTGAATACCTTGTACTGAAAAATTAAAAGTTTATGTTCCCACTCTCCATTTTGTTGTAAATTAATGTTCATTTGGAAGCAAAACAAAATTATTTAAATGAGATGTACTCTTAACACCCCAGTGATTCAAATTATAAAATGTTGCTACATAAAATCATAACCTTGCAAGACAGAAGTATGTCTATTAAATATAAACTAGCAAATTATTGTTCACTTTCATCATGCCTTTGGGAAGGAAGATGCAAAGGTCAAGGCCACCTGGATATGCAGGGAAATTTACTGTGATTACCTGTTCATGCAGATAAACAGAGAACTTGGTTCTCTAATTATGAAGTCATTTTAAAACCTCTCTTTTTTTTAAAAGACTTCACTCATTACATCAGCATCAACCTTACGTATTCAACTAGCAAAATAATTATACAGTCCGAGCAATATCAAAATAAAGCATGTTCACATTTTTAATTCTGCACCAATGTTTCTCATAAAAAAAGAAAATAAATTAATTCCCTTTTGTGAATAAAGGCTCTCAGTGTTAAGAATTGCAATAAATTACATCTTAGCATACTCAAAAAGCTGACCGAGGAGATATCAGAGCCATTAATGATTATCTTCCAAAACGCGTGAAAAATGGAAAAATATAGACCCAATATATAAAAACGAGCAATGAGGACAATGAGGGGAATTACAGACCAATCATCTTAACTTCAGTATCTGGAAAGATAATGGAGCAAATAATCAATTTACAAACACCTAGACAATAATAAAGTGATAAGCAACAGTCAGCATGGATTTGTCAAGAACACACCATGTCAAAGCAATCTAATAGCTTTTTCTGACCAGGCAACAAGCCTTATGGATGGGGGAAGCGGTGGATGTGGTAGATCTTAACTTTGGCAAGGTTTCTGAGATTGTGCCACCTGGCCTCTTCATACATATATTAGGGAAATATAGTTTATATGGAGCTACCAGAATGTGGTTGCATAATTGGTTGGAAAACCATTCCCACAGAGTAGTTATCAATGCTTCACAGTGAAGCTGGAAGGGCATAACAAGTGGGGTCCCACAGGGACTGGTACCAGGTCCTGTTCTGTTTAACATCTTCATCAATGATTTAGATAATGGTATGGAGAGTACATTTTTAAAGCTTGAGGATGATACAAAGCTGGGAGAGATTGTAAGTACTTTGGAGAATAGGATTAAAATTCAAAATGATTTGGACAAACTGGAGAAATGGGCTGAAGTAAATAGGATGAATTCAATAAGGTCAAATGCAAAGTGCTTTAAGTAGGGAGGAACTATCAATTGTACACCTATAAAATGGAAAATGACTGCGTAGGAAGGAAATGAACCTGGGAGTTACAGTGGACCCACAATCTAAACATGAGTCAACAGTGTCACACTGTTGCAAAAAAAGTAAAAAGCATTCTGAAATGTATCAATATGAGTGCCATAAAGCAAGATAAGTAATTCTTCCATTCTACACTGGTAAGCTGCAACTGGAGTACTATATTGTGTCCAATTCTGGGCATCACATTTCAGGAAAGATGTGGACAAATTGAAGAAAGGCCAGAGGACACCAATAAAACGTATTAAAGGTCTAGAAAACATGACCCATAAGGGAAGATTAGAAAAAACATTTTCAGTCTGCACAAGGGAAGACTTAGGGGAAACAATTTTCAAGAACATAAAAGACTGTTACAAGGAAGACTGAAAAATTGTTCTCATTGACTTTTGGTGATAGGACAAGAATCAATGGACTTAAGATGCTAGCAAGGGAGGTTTAAGTTGGACATTAGAAAAACTTCCCAACTGTCAAGGTAGTTAGGCACTGAACAAATGCTTACACTTCTAAGATGCTCAGACAGGGGTGAGGAAACCTCAAGTCCACTACTTAATTTCATCCAGGTTGTGCCAAGGGGCCTCATTGACTTTTGGTGATAGGACAAGAATCAATGGACTTAAGATGCTAGCAAGGGAGGTTTAAGTTGGACATTAGAAAAACTTCCCAACTGTCAAGGTAGTTAGGCACTGAACAAATGCTTACACTTCTAAGATGCTCAGACAGGGGTGAGGAAACCTCAAGTCCACTACTTAATTTCATCCAGGTTGTGCCAAGGGGCCACACTGGCACCAGTTCACAGCAGTCGGGAAGCTCCATATGCTACCCTCACCTGCAAACACTGCCCCCACAGTTCTCACTGGCCAGCAATTGTGGGGGCAGTGTCTGCAGATGAGAGGAGTGTGTGAAGCTGCTTTCCCCCCCTCTGCCCCTGCTCCCCCACCAGGAGCTGCAGGGACACGTGCCAGCCACTTCAGAATCTGGGAGCCGCAACCCCCTGCCCCAGCCTTGAGCCCACCCGCACACTCCAACCCTCTGCCCCAGCCTAAAGCCCCCTCCTACAGCCCAAACCCCTTGTTTTTGGCCCCACCCCAATAAAGGGTTGCCAACTTTCCCAACCGGACAGACAGGATTCCATTTATCCAACCAGGAAAGTTAGTAGCCCTAAAAGCCTAAGGGAAGCCCCAAGCGCTCACCCACACACCTCTTCCCCCAGCCCCTGGAGCTGAGTGTGGCCTATGACTGATTTTTTTCTGCAGGTCAGCGTCCCCTGGCAGGTTCTCCACCCCTGTTCTAAAAGGGGGGGGATGAATCTATGACTGACACTTATGTACCTTGACTTGTCAGGACTATTTATTATGACCTGTCTAGGTCCCCTTCAGTCCTACATTTCCATTTCAAGAATACAGGCACTCCCCGACTTATGTCGGATCCGCAGTTACGAACGGGGCTTTTCTCGCCCGGGAGGACACGAACTGCGGGACCTCGCGGTCCCGCCGCCCGTGTACTCCGGGGCGAGAAAAGCTGCTCCGCGTCTCCCTGGTCTGCAGACCAGGAAGACGTGGAGCAAAGCCACGGAGGGGCTCGGGCAGCGGGGCAGCCCAGGCGCGCCTGGGCTTCCCCGCTGCCGGAGCCCCTCCCCCGCTTTGCCAAGGCTCG